TTAACAAAGCATAGAACACTTCGATTATATCAAGAAACTTCAGTTGTCTAAGAACTAGCCATTGTTTTTAATGCTTATAAAACTCTTAATACCTTCTGACATGATCTGGATATGAATTCGTTGATTATTTGCATTTTAAAGACTTCAAAGATTACATTGAAGCTTTTTAAAATGAATATAAATAATTATAAACTTCTAAATAACTTTTAACATACTTGTAATGAGGACAACAGAAAAGGCAATTGATGAATGACGTCAATGACCTTTACTTCTTGAAATGTTCAGTGGTAGCGTGTATAATGAAAAAGTATTAATCCTGTGTAAATGTAATAAATAGATCAAAACCTGTTTCCCTCAATCAATACTCTCATATTTGACAAGCTATCATGTTTTCTCCTGATCGCTATCCTTCTAGGTTTAATTAGAAACACGATTTATAGTTCATATATGAAGAACTGTCGATGGCTTATGATCGTGATGATGAGTCTGGTATAAAGCATGACAACATACTCGATAAGCACGATTTAAGTCCTATTTATTTTAATTCTATGCTATTAAGATGACTTGTCATGGTCAGATGCTTACATAAAACAAACTCAGATGTCATTTAACCTACAATATATAAGTAAAAACTGAAATCAAATGAACAAAGTTAAAATGAATACTTTACATACAGGTAGAACTTAAAAGAAGGTATCCTCAGTTTTTGAAATCAATCAATTTATAAAAAAAAAAAAGGGAAACATTAATTGCTTATTTATTATGAACAAATGAAACACTTGACAATATAAAATAGTGCTATACAGGCTTTATGATTTAGAATATACAAATAGTACCCCATAGGGAACCTTATCAAATACTTTGGAGAAATCAAGGAGTGCCATGTCCGATTGTTCAATGTCATCAATGGCTTTGGCGGGGTCCGAGTCTGGACAGCAAGGGTGGGCTTGGAGATGCAGGGTCGTTTCTTTCGAAAGCCATGATGTGCATCAGACAGGATGTTGTGGTCTCCAAGGTAGGTCATGATGCTGCTAAGAACGATATGCTCCAGCAATGCACAGGTCACTGACGTCAGAGAGATAGGTCTGTAGTTATCTGGGTTGCTACGGTTACCTTTCTTGAAGATGGGAGCAATATTAGCCATCTTTTATTGACACTCTGGTTAAATTAATGGGGGTTTGGAAGAATCGAGTGAACACATGTGTCATTTCGGTGGCGAGTGCCTTCAGAAATCCGGCTGGGATTCTGTCAGGACCAGTGGCTTTATGAACATCAAGCTCAGACAGGATCTTCAGAACCCTTGGTGGAGATGTGTAATGTGATCCATGGTTGGGTATAGGAGTGGTATTTTGTCTCTCCGACTAGTCATAGCTTCATTGCAGTTGAAGATGGATGAACACTGATGACTTAGGATGTTCGCCTTTGAGAGGCTGTCTGAGTAAGTCATTCCATTACATGATTTCAATGGAGCCAGACCTGAAGCATCGCATCGCTTGCTTTTTATGAAACACCAGAAACGCTTTGGGTTGTACACAGTGGCGTAATGAGCAAAAACATTTTTTTGTTTTTATTGGGGGGGGGGGGGTTGGCAGACCATGCAGACCCTGATGAACGTTTTTTCAAAGAGGGTCTAGGGGCAAAGCCCCGGCGGGGGTCAAGGGGCAGAGCCCTCGAAGCTCAAGGGGTATGGGCATTAGTGGCGGAACCAGGAATTTCTTACTGGGTGGGGGGCACAAAATGGCATGGGTTGAAATATATGTAAATCGATGAGGTGACATAGTGAGGCTTTAGCGGCGAGGGAGCGGGGCGACCTAGCAGGGGTGGGTCTGGGAGGAGGTTCTGACCCCCTCCAAGAGTAGAAATCATTTGCAATTTTAGAACCACATTACACGCATTTTCAGACATTTCCGGGAGTACTAAAACGTAAGATTGCTCTCTCCTCCCCCCTCCAAGAGTAGGGATCTTTTGCAATTCAAGAACCACATTTGGCGCTTTAATGTCCACCGGCATTTCCTGGAGAAAAAAATGAATTCTTCTGATTGGTTAGAAGTTAGAGAAAAGTGATCTGTGACGACGTGAGACGTTGTATATGCTTAGTTGCTGCACAATGCACAAAGACGGTGGTCCGGATTTCGCCCTAAGTATTCGACCACGTTTGCATTAATAGATTTAATTGAACATATTAGGTCAGCCGTCGACACTGGTAATGTCGTCGGTATAGTGTCACTCGATCTCGAAAAAGCGTTCGATATGGTATCTCACGATATACTCATTCGTAAATTAAAGTTCTATGGTTTTCATGAAAATATGATAGTGGTTCAAGGATTAATTTTTTACTTGCGAAGTCAAATAACAGTAATAAATGGCAATGAATCAAATGTGTCTTTTATCAAACACGGTACAAGAGGGCAAACAAAAGGTTTTCATGAAGCAAATAATGACTTTAGCATTGATTATTCTAAAATACACTAGTGGAACTCCTCCATGAGTAGAAGATTTGTGGATATTTGGGGTCAATTTGACCCATGTGCTAACTACGAAAAGGTCTATTGAAAATAAGTCATGGTTTAATTTCATTTGGGGGCGCTACCAGTACGCCAGTGGTTATACATATGTTATCAGGGCTAACAATGTCTGTCAGGAACCTACTGTAGGCTTTCTTGGAAATTGTGTTATATAATCCACCAGGTAATTTCTGTTGAACCTCATGCATCTGTCTGGTGCTGATGTCAACTGCTTATCCAAATTCACCGAAGCTGGACGGGAGCAATGCTGGTCTAAATAAAGCCTATTGATAGAACAATAATGTATATCGTAAACCCACTTCTCATTGATTCGATAAACATTCTTTTGTAGGCATTTTTTATTCTTTACATGTATCTAAATTTAGACCAAAAAGGTGAAAGATAAATGCAGTAGAATCGTAATATAGCCATACAAAGCATATACTATATGTTTTTAACGTGACGTACATCTACGAAATTGGCATGAGGCTGGCACACATATTTTATGCAAAATCAATGTTTATAGAGGGCGCTGTTTCATAATATGCAAATTAACCTGTCATCTATGGCAATGCAACATCACGAAACATTTTTGTAGTGGTGGTCATAGAGATATACAGACATTTGGCTGCCCAAAATTGTAGAAAAATCCTTATTATATAATTATTATACATTTTTAGAGAAAAATCATGTACTTCGGCGGTCACTTTGTATGACGTCGTATATCTTAAATTGCTTAAGGCTGGCACAGTGTCAGCAATCGAATTCTTTAAATAGAAGGTTTAGGCAATCATAATCCATTGAAGAAAAAACACTATAGAGTACCCTAAAATAAGGTTAGTCCTATAATCTGGACTTGGCTGCCAGACTATTATGCTAGAAATGTCACTTCATCATCAAATAGATTTAATGTCTAATTTCTCGTCCCTCCTCCTTCCTTCTGTTGGTCCGCCTCATTTTTTTATTTATTTTTTATTCGAGAGTTTGGTTCTAAAGTTTAAATAAACAGGGACTTTTAGATTTACACGACGAGAGCGTGGACTGCCGCGTGTGATATTAGGGACTTTTAGATTTTCACGTCGACAGCTTTGACTTCAACGTGTGACGTCATTTTGAGGCACTGCATGCGCATGCGTCACGTCGTCTCAGTCGGCGATCGAGTAATAGTATATGCCGCGTGCGCATAAAATATGAAGTTCCTCAGGTAGACAAAGGAACATCCCTTCCCTGCTATTGTAAAAATGTGTAGAACAGGTGTCACATGCATATTCACCTGTTCTACACATTTTTACAAAAGAGCAGTGAAGGGATATTCTACCACAGCAATTGTTGAGGGTAGAATGAGGAACTGTATATTTTGTCCTCTTTCTTTGTCCATAATATTCATTATGTTACTTCCTGCATGCATGTATATCGCCGAGTGCAATCTAAAAGATTTCTAATTGTAGTCAACATGGGCAGTTGAGTACGTTGACACGCATGATCAGTCGGCGTTCGTCGTGTTCTCGTCCACTCAATCTAAAAGTCCCTATTGTGTTAAGGCATTGGGCAGTGCCTTAAAAGGACGTCACATTACCTTAAAAGGATGTCACACGTGGCGGTCATCGTTCTCGTCGTGTAAATCTAAAAGTCCCTATTAACAATCTGAAGACGTCTGGAGACAGTCAGACAATCAAATTATGAATACAATGCAGTTCCAACTATTTTTTAGTCTTCGAAGCGCATATGAAGTCATATCTTAAAGAGAAGGTTCATTGATTTAAAAAAACTAACTTTAATGTCATTATTGCAAAGGTGACACTTTGATTGGCCAAGGTTATCAAAAGCCAATGCTTGGAAACATTCGAAGTAATGATTATTAACAATTACAAAACGCTTAGATACAGCCCTGACATATAGCACCTGAAAAGTTCTCCGGTCGCTGCTGAGATATGACGTCACATGTTGAACATGATTTACACAAGCAGACCATGTCCCATGACATCTCACACAATTTCAGTGCCTGTTTTTATCATCTTTTCTTCAGTTATTTCTCTTACTTCAATACCCTCAGGCGAAATGTTTAATCTATTGCCTCACTCTAAACCCCGTGCATGGTATTATTTTGATGAAAAATGCAAGGATAACAAAAAAAGGGAATCCGTCGCTTGTAAACAAAAAAGACGCCATTGTGACGGCATTAAAACATCGTTATTTTTCCGGCGAATCTCTCGTATATCCCGGATGCTATGGAGGTTGTTTTATTTGTATTTTTATAAATCACCCGATATGTAGTTGACATAAAACTTGCATGATGACCATCTGTTAGCTTACCAGTTTCTAGTAATACGATATTTGCCATATGTGTGATTTTCTATGAACCCGCACTTTAAACTCAAAATGTAGCATTTGGTCAACCCTCCCCCCCCCCCCCCCACACTGATTCCCCTAAATTCCTTTCCTTTAAGATAACAGAATCCACTAGACCGATGATCGCATTGTGCTATTATTATTGTTCTTGAACAAAAGCCAAAAGGCAAGTCACGGGTTGCATGCATACATGCACCCCACATATGCTGGCATGAAATCACATTCACAAGATATACCGAGTGAATATTCTCTACACTGCTGGAAAGAAAATCTAAAATGGAGCTGAATGACGGGTTTAGAATATTAGTCTATGCACTCTTGGTCATTTCCTCTTCCGTTGGTATTGCGTTTATGGTGTTTTCGTGGCTGCTGTACCGAGTTAACAGGAAATATGGACATTTGCCTAGCCCACGACCTAGAAGGTAGGCTTGTAGTTATAAAGTGATAAAAATACGTACATTAAATGTTTGTTGATGAAACGGCTGTTTGCCGTTTTGTTTAGTGCAAGTGTGATGTATAAATGCCAGGGAGAAGCGGCGGATCCAGGGGGGGGGGGCGAAACGGCCCGCGGTTCCTCCCTTTTATTGGCGGCGCAAAAACAAAAAAGAAGAGCAAAAAGAGGAAGAAAAGAAGAGAAAAAAAAGAAAGGAGAAGAGAAAGAGAAGAGAAAAGAAAACAAAACAGAAGAGATACGAAAGAGAGAGAGAGAGAGAGAGAGAAAAGAGAAGGAAATGGCTGTGACAGTTACGACGAATAAACATGAATGAATGAACAAAACACCCCGTGACTCTTTAATTATCGAGTTTTAGTTCAAAACGATGCCCAGACCCGCGTTTCGTTATACCATGGATATATGTAATCATATCTCCATGGTTATACGATGTTTTCTTTATACGACCAAAGAGATACCAGCTGGTATCTCTTTGATACGACGTATCGTTAGTAAGCGTACACACACATAATTTCATCGTATTGCCAAAGAGATACCAGCTGGTATCTCTTTGGTATAGCTATCCCAAAGAAATGCTGGTATCTCTTTGGCTATCCTGCTTCGGGATAGCTATACGAGGAATTTGTGTGTGTGGACACGGGGTCAGTCTAGTGTCGTTAAATCGTAACAACCACTCCCTTGGACCTTGTATTATTTACACAATTTCAAGCTGTCGAAATCACTGGAGCGAAGGAGAGTAACATGTATAGCAAGAATGCCTATTAGTATTATACCATATTCTACCATTCTTGACCAGAAGTACGTTTTAAACTCTATCCCATTGAATGTTGTGTCCAGTACTAAGGGCGTGTTCTGCTGTTTAATTCGAGGGCTTTTTTGTGCTCTTTAAAAAGAGCACATAACAGGGGCAGTGCAATTTAAATATCAGGGGGTGGATTAGAGTTTATTTATAACAAGAAATGAAAGGGTTTTATGACTTTAAAAGAGCGATAAATCTATCACTTGAAATTTAAATTGCACTGCCAGTGTGTGCTCTTCTCAAAAAGCACAAAGGCCCTCAGATTGAACATTCCATCTCAAAAGAGTCTGTAAGAGCTAGAGGTTAGTACTAGGTGCTGTGGCGTGCGTCCGTAATCCAGCTAACAATGGAAGTTACAAACTGATTCAGCCGAGGACGCAGGTTCCAAACTGAGTCACGTCTCTCGAATTGTGACGTTAAAAGTCGATCCCCAGACGTAAATAATCATATCTGATTGATACACGTCTGTAAAAACCAAATTACACACACACAAATGAAATAAAAGGGCTATTTGACATTCAAGGGCCCTTTCATTTCAATTTAGAACTAAACTCTCTTTCTCTCTTTAAGACAATTTTCTCTCTTGAAAGTCAAATAGCCATTTCATTTCAATTTAGAAATAATCTCTTTTTCTCTAAAGACAATTTCTCTCTTAAAAGTCAAATAAACTTGAGAGCATCCAAGACAGTGCTCCGCCCCGGAACATCCGACAGTGGATCTGACTGGCCCTTCAAGCTCTGCCATGTTGTATGGATCCATTCGAAAGCAAAATAAGCCCACTCAATAATTAATATATATATATATATCCAAACGTCATAGCGATTAAACAAAATAAAAAATCCACGTATGAGGCATTTTGAACATTTTAAGAAAATTCCTGAAAATTAGGTTATCTTTTTCACTGTCGGCTCTGTGTTTTTAAACTGTAACAATTCTCCTCCGATCAGATGTAGACCCAAAACAAGCCTCCTTGTCTTCAGTATATACAAATGTCATTTCGGACCTTATAGCTTTTATAGAAATCACTTCTGGACCGTCAAAGAAAAAGTGTAAGAACTCCTGGCCTACGCATTACACATCATGTCCAACTTGACAAAGAGAAAGTTATCGATTTCGAGTTTCAAATTTCATAACTTTCTTCTTTGTTCGATTTATATAATCTCCCCCCCCCCTCCCCCCTCCCCCCCCCCCCCTCCCCCCCCCCCCCCCCCCCCTCCGGGGTGCCAAATAGTACGCGTGAAAGAGACAGAGAGAGAGAGAGAGAGAGAGAGAAAGAAAGATAGATAGATACATTATCCCCTTTGATACGGAATACTCAATCTGGGGGTGGGGGGGGGGGGACACTTTTATTTTTTTTTTTTTTCGGGGGGGGGGGGGTCTCTAAATTTGAAAAATTGACATTTTACTCCGTAGGGGGGGGGGTAAGGTCAGTTTTTTTTAGTTCAGCCATTGGCATAATTTTTTTTTTTTTTTTTTTTTTTAAATCCACAAAGGGGGGAGGAGGTTTACTCAAAAATACACACATAATACACACATAAAAGTTTTGTTAAGGGGGTGGGTTAACCCCAACCCCCCCCCCCCCCTACGTACGCGCCTGCAAGCGTTATTTACTGTCCCAGTATGTTTAAGTTAAAGATAAAGACCAGTTATGGTCATGCGATTGCATTGTGAAAGAAACGTGGTGGAATCGATCAGAAAAGTTTGATCTTCTAGCATATAAGTATTGGTGTGTACTGCAAGGTTCTGGAATCATCAAAATGATAAGAAATTTGGCCCAGTTTTCGTAAAGTTACAAGCACTGTACACAGAAAGATGTATATGGGATTAAACACACGTGCATGACACGTGCGTTTATCTCTCGCACACCAATAGATAAACTAATTTAACAAATATATCAATTAGTAGGCGGTTTCCCGGCAAAATTTGTATCATCATGTATTAGTCAAAACAATATTCTTTCACATGAATGGTAATTAGAGCTTCCATTTCATTTTTTGAAATTGGGGCATTTCCAATACTGGTCTTTACCTTTTAATGTAATTTAGTATGTAACCGTCAGCAACCTGTAATTTATATATAATTTTGTTCACTCTTTGTAATGGGTGTATCAACTTGTCAAGCCACATAGGCTTTTACTGATACACCCTATTTCATTTTACAACTATTTACATTTAAATGTTATTACTTTGTTCCACATATTTAAGTTGATTTTATATGTAAATTGTAACCTGTTTTTTTAATTTTTTTTGAAAATCAAACGTATCAATCAATCAATCAATGAAAATATAATGTCAAGGAACAAACTAAAGAAAAAGCAGGAACAGGTGAATTATGGGGAAAATTTTGCCAAACACATAGAGAAGGAAATGTAGAAGGAAGTATAATTACTGTGTATGTAACATTACAGTTCATAGTGCCATATTAAATGTCATTCATACAGAGTAAAACAGTTAAAATACACTAAATGAAGTTATACTTTTAATGAAATGGAAATGCGCATACGGAAATTGTGAGTAATGCGTAAACTATCAAAATATCACACTAAACATACTTTAAAGTGCAGCGTCCCATTAAAAATCGAAACCGAGAATTATCGTTGCTTTATCATAATCCAATCACAATTATAATTGATAAATGATACATTTGATGCAACTCATATGATGCATTTTTCACGCATGAGTGATTAAAAACAATTTGAAGAGAGGGTACCAAAAATTCCTTGGCAAATTATCTCTATAAGTGAATGATTTATTATTAATCATTTTAATTCAATGTCACTTTATTCTTTACTAGCCACTTTCTTATTTCAAATTGAGAAAGCATTTTGGAGATAATAAAACAACATCGATGTTAGTTTTTTACGTTGTTATGTACAGCTCTACATAAAACAGTAACTGAAGTACTACGCTATCAAACTAAAACTTGTTAAAATTTATATGATGTTGGAAGAAATATACAATGCTTTTAATCCTGTTTTTATCATTTGTTAATTTAGTTTCTTCACTGGTCACTTGTCTCCCATTAATGCTGTTGCAAAGAAAATGGAATTTCCAGTGCTGACTCTTTTGCATCAGTGGTAAGTTTACAGATGGTAAATTCAAAAATGGAAAATTTAAAGATAGCAAGTTTAAAGATGATGAGTTTAAAGATGACTTTGGCTACGAGAACCGGGTGGTCCCTGTGTTAACTATATGGGAATGAGAAAATTCAGTTGTCAACGGGTTAAAGACTGCAATTTAAAAGATAGTGAGTTTAAAGTAAGTATATAAATGGTAGTTTTAAGGATGGTAAGGTTTGGGATAGTAAATTTAAAGAGTGTAATTCGAAGATGGTAGGGTTAAAGATTAAGTTTGAAGGGTCCTAGGACAATTATCCCCTGAACAATCACCCCGGTCAATTACCAGCGGGACAATTACCCCCGAGGACAATTACCCCGGAATGTTATCCCCATGGTCAACCTCCCCCAGGACAATTAACCTCCGGAAAAATACCCTCCCGGATAATTACCCACCTTAGAAATCACCACCTAACCTCCCCTGAGGATAATTACCCCCGAAAAACTGCTTTTTATTAAAACCAACTTATTACCGGGGTGTACTTTCCCTTAAATGAGGTAAGTGTCCTGGGGGGGGGGGGGAAGGGGATAATTGTCGTAGGGGTTATTTCCGGGGGTAGTACTCCTCGGGGGGTAATTATCCACGTTGGGTATTTTCCTAGAGGGTAGTTTTCCGGAGGATAATTTTTATGGGGGTTATTGTCCATGGGGTGATTGTCCTGACACAAGTTTAAAAATTGTAATTGTAAAGACGGTAAGGTTAAAGAAAGTAAGTGTAAAGATGGTAAGCTTAACAGGCCTCAGATGGTAAGGTTAAAGGGATAGTTGAGTTCTTGTTCTTGTTGAGTTCACATTGTTTTCAGCAAACTATACACTTTCGCATTTAGATTCTGAGCAGTGCATATTTTTCTTTTGCTTTGATTTTGTAATGATTACAGACTTGTTCAGATGTGATGCGGTTAACCGTCGCAAAAAGGAAAGAAGGACGCAGCTTTATACGTGTAAATGAATGGCAACTTAGAGCCTCAGAAATTTGACACTTATTTCACTTAACGTCATAAGGCCTTTTTTGCATTTGTGACAGCATAAACTAATAATTACTATGAATTATTTGATATTTATTTGAAAGGACGAGAGATCTTGGACCAGTCTTCTGGGTACGATTCATTATACAGCCAATGGTTTTTTGCTCTAACCCCCCAACAGTCAAGGTAATAAACCAAATACAGCCCTCTTTTTTGTAACTATTTTGCTTACATTGCAATCTTATCATAGTCTTCGGATATATACTGTAATTCGGTGGAATTTATATAGTTTGAATTTTAATTTTTTTTTTTTAATAGTGAAATGAAAATTAAATGTGAAATGATTATATGAAACCTTATACTATAACGAGTCTAACAACAATCTCCAGACTGACCGATTCTTGGTGTGTTATCGGTCTCATCGGTGTGAGATAATACCTCAGTCACATTGCCATACAGACGCCACACCGACCCCAAACCGATGCCACACCGGCTCCTACCCGACGCCGAATCGACCCCAAACCGATGCCACACCGACTCCGAACCCACTCCAAACCCACCGATTCTTAAAGCCATGAAATGCATCATTTTGTTCGATGTGCTACCCGGCAGCTGTAGCCCGCACAATTATGTTTGCAGACTGCATCTAATTTCACATTTTGTTAACTTTACTTCTCAGTACTTACTCTTGATAATATACTCACTTTAGTCACAGTTTGTTATTTTTCTCATGATAACTTTTGATAACTTTTGACTTGTATGTTAATTGTTTCATTATGTTCGTTTTTTTGTTGTAATTCTTTACTGTATTCTTTATTATATGGATTTTGTTCATTTAGAGGGCCTTCTTTTCAGGCAGCGTCAAAAGCACTAGTGAAGCCACCCCGGTAAAAGTAAAACTGAATGAATAGAATATAAAAGTAAATAATATTTCTTATTGTTATTAATAATTTCTTTAAACATCAGGAAGTTAGCCTGGACAGCCGCCATCTCAAGCCTCATTCTCTGTATGATCGGTTCCACTCTGTGTTTGGTCAGAGATTTATGGGATATGGGCTCCTCTCAGAAGTTAACCACGAGAAGTGGCATACTCGTCGAGCATTGCTAAACCCTGCATTCAACCGCAAGTGAGTATTCCCAAGTTCATAGAGCAGGGCCCTGTTTAACAAAATTGGCTATCAATAGCAAGTTTCAATCACTGTTAAAAGCTACTGAAATCATTGCATTTGATTGGCTAAGAGCAAATTTGTCATTGAATTTAAGCATTTTGTGCTTATAAGAAGTCTTATGAAACAGGGTCCAGAAGTTCATTAAACCGAAGTGTTGACCGAAGTTGTTTGTGTTTTGTGTATTAAAAAGGTGTTCGATGTTTTACTAACATGTTTAACAAATAGTGGCATTTTACATTAATTCATGTGTGTCATATAATTAGGCAGCAACAAGTTAAAGAGGGTTGAGAAAATGGAAATTAAAGGAAGTAAAATTAGACGATGCAGAGAGAATGGAAAAGAAGAAAATCAACTAAGAAGGAAAAAGCGAGAGAAACAAAAATCAAGAAACAAAAAGAGAGAGGAAAAGAAGACGATGAATAAAAATATAAATAGTAGTCGAGTAGTAGTAGTAGTAGTAGTAGTAGTAGTAGTAGCGGTAGTAGAAGCAGTCGTAAACGTAGTCGTAGAAGCAGCAGTAGTAGTAGAAGTCATAGTTGTAGTTATAGTGATGGTAATCCAAATAATAACAGCAGTAGGAGTAGTAGGAGTAGTAGGAGTAGTAGCAGCAGCAGCAGTCGTCGTAGTAGCAGTAGTAACAGTAGTCGCAGTAGTAGTAGTAGTAGTAGTAGTAGTAGTAGTAGTAGTAGAAGCAGTAGTAGTAATGTAAGTAGTAGTGGTAGTAGTAGTAGTAGAAGAAGTAGTAGCCTAGTGGTAGTAGTAGTAGTAGTAGTTGTAGTAGTAGAAGGAAAAGATGTAGAAGAAGAAGAAGAAGAAGAAGAAGAAGAAGAAGAAGAAGAAGAAGAAGAAGAAGAAGAAGAAGAAGAAGAAGAAAAAAAAAAAAAAAAAGAAAAAAAAGAAGAGGATGGTGAGAGTGCTACTACTGTTAATGATGATATAGTGAACGATGATGATAGTGATAATGATTGATGATGATGGCAAAGCAGAAGGAAGAAGAAAAACAGAAGTGCAAACACAACAGTTAATGAACGATTCGAAATATATTCCTATCAGGTATCTAAAGCAAATGATGGACCTTTTCGACGAGAGTGCGACCCGTCTTCGAGATCATCTCATCCCCTTAGCCGACGACAAAACGCTTGTTAGAATGTTGGAGCATTTCAATAATGTCGCTCTGGATGTCATTGGAAAGGTAACACTAACCGCTATTAATTTCCCCTCCCCCTATTCATTAACCACTCTCACTCTCTCTTCTCACCCCCCCCCCCTCACCTCTCACCCCACTCCTTCTCTCCTTTCATTGTCTCTCTGCATGATCATTGAAAGAAGGCTATCCTTCATTCATATAACTGAATAATACGACGAATTCGTTGTGCATATGAGTTCATATTTCTTGTTTTGTGTTCATTGATAATACACATAACGTTAATGATCCTGTTCCCATTTTCTCATATTCATTCTCTTTGCTAAAGGTCGGCTTTGACATGGATATTAACGCCGTCGAAAATTCCGACTGTCCCTTTCCGTCGGCGGTGGCGCTAGCACTTCAAGGCATAAACGTTGCATTTCAGAACCCCCTCACTTTGGTATGCTTTTTCAGCTTTCTTTTCTCGGAAAATCCAGACTAAAAGAAAGCAGAAAATCAGGGTAGCAGGCCGGTGGACGTTTGAACGAAATCGTTGTATATCTGTAACTGTTTTTGATTTATTTTCTTTCTTTTTTTTGTGGTTTATTTTAAAAAAAATTGTTGTTTAATATATCTTTTTTTTTTTAAATAAACACATGTAAATATACGTTTGAAATGTACATTTTTTTTATTAAACGGGCCATTATTTTTTGATATGTGAAATATATAATTTTTAAATAGTAGCTTGGCGAGATGGTGCGGCAAATAATGGCGTATCCATAATGGGCACGATTCTTAATGGCATCTTATAATGGCATTATATAAAAACTTGTGATTTGACATGTCTCAATATGTTTTTTAGTATTATTAAGTCTAATCAAGGCTGAAGAGATAATTACTTGGTCTATGTCCTACTTGCATGGTTTTACTGTAATGGCATAAAAATATGATTTTTTTTTTAACAATTATGCATTTTAGTTCTGGACGAGTCCGGCTTTTCGTAACACTTTATTTCGCTAAGCCACGTAATAAATTGCAAACAAAGTTATTGCACACGCCTTCACAGTCGTATCACATCACATTATCATCAATATTTTTACAAATTACAGGTTGATCCTCGCAGCAAAGCACGCCAATATCGCCGATCAGTGCGCGACGCCGTCAAACTGGTACGAAACATTGGCCAGGATTGCATCGAAAAGAGAAGAGAGGCAAAGAAGAAAGGCGAGGAGTTGCCGAAGGACATCCTGACATGTATTTTGCAAGCCGAGGACGATGTTGGCCAGAAGATTGAGATGGCAGAATTGCTCGACGAGTTCGTGACATTTTTCTTAGCTGGTTAGTTAGTTATACTTCGTCTCTTAGTAGTGTAAAGATTCTTTCAAGGATTAGTTTTTGATGATTATAATCAAGATGAAACCGGCCGAAGTAATAAAGGGTTATCAAACACAAATGGGGTCAATAATACCACAATGATAGCTTTCTTCATCTTATATAGCACGTAAACGTAAAATTTCAATCCATTTTTTTCCTTTTGTTTAATGTACGAGGCACATCAATGAACGTTGGCTAGGCATAGTTTTTCAGCTTGGGAAGGAATGGACAGCCCACCAAGAAAATTCACCAATAAATTGTTCAAAATTGTTATACCATTTCATAAGCTAAACGAATTTACCAGTTTACAGTCAAATCTCGTTATATTGCTAACTTATTTGGGAAAAGCAAATTACTTCATTGTATGAGGGCTAAAAATAGCAATATGAACACTCACAAACAGTGGGATCGACATAATTCCGTTGCTCCGTCTAACGAGAGTTTAAACAGTGTTCTTTCTGTCGAGGTTCCACTGTTCTTATTTCATTTTTCCGACAGAAGGTTTGAATCACAAACTTGCCAATATCATTTCGGGGAAGAGGGCATTGCCTCCTCATGACACTAGTGATAACCGTTTCTCCTCTCCAAAGGTCCAATAGCATGATGCTGAACGGCTACACTTATGGGGGTCGATACTTCTGATAAGGCTATTATACATCACCCATGTCATAATATTTTGATACGTAATATGCTTATAACCTTGAACTTTATTGTGGTTCAATACGAAGGTCACGAAACAACGAGTAATCTCCTCGCATTTACCTTACTCGAGATTGGAAGACACAAAGACGTGGCTAAGAGGTAAAAAAACAACCTAACATTGTACTTTTATAATCTGCATAGTAAAAAACACGATAAGAGTCTCATTAAATCAAATTGAGGCATATTCAATGGCATTGTGTGTTACCTACTGGAAGGCGCGAACATGACAATAAAATATTTCGTGATACGAACATTTTTCGGCAATACAATAGTCTTGTTCAGACGATGGCAATTTCGGTCGGGGTAAAGGTCGTGTTAAGAGCTAGTCGGGGTAGATATGGTGAGGTCGGTGTAAAGGTCGAAGTAGTGACCGTCTGAACGATGGTCCTGTTAGCTACACCTACCTTTACCCCGACCGACTTACTCCTGGATTTATCCAGGAGTAACGCGCTAACACGACTAGAGGGTAGCGTAAGTTGACCGTGTGGGTGCTCTCACTTGGCACTCGGAGTATCTGTGACCTTATCGAAAATGAAAATTAGATTTTGCACGGTTTAGATGAGGAAGGTGTGTTGAGGTCGACTGGATGCGGGTGCCACCACTTCCAAGGGCGGTTCCAGGGGGCGCACTTCCCCTTTTTTACCTTTAAAAAAAATCACATAAATTATGTTCAGTTTACTCATTCAGAAATGCCTCAGATTGTACCATGATAGAGCATCTTAAGGTTCAATATTTTCCGGGGCCCTTTAAGCGGGCCCTACCCCACACCGTGAAGGCTTTGCACTATCAATTTCGTACATTTCACGCCCCCCCCCCCCCTTGTAAAATCTTGGATCCGCCCCTGACTACTGGAAGTTACGCTGAGTCAGACTGGGTCGATGGAAGGTTGTGTTAACTTAATCGTGGCAAGTTGGTCCGAGTAAGAGGGTGTGGCCAACTAATGACGTAACTTGTAAGTGAAATATACATGAGATATTTAATGCTGCAGGGATTATCTTACGTCGACTTAGAAGACCCCTCTGAACATGGCTAACGTCGTATTAAAACTGCTCTTAAGTTTATATCTCGAAAATCTTTTCGATCATGATTTAAGCATCGATAAATATCAATTTACCAATTATTACCAAATATGACTGGAATAGGCAGGAAAACAAATAATCTTTAACAAATCGCACGGGTCGTGTTATAACAATATTGTTGGCTCATATAAGGTAGATCAGAATTTGGAGACTTTAATCATACTATTTGTATTTAAATCACAGTGAAAATAAAATATTAAGGAGGGAAATAATATCGATGGCAAACAGGAGCGCAATGGATACCTGGAAAGAAGCAAAATAGAATGTAATATACAAGTCAAATCCAACTGTTTTTGTATAACTTGTGTTGGATTGCTAACCATAAATAATCGTTTCCTGTTATATATATTCCTTTTTTTTTTACTAGACTAAAAGATGAAGTAGACGAAGTCCTCGGAAGTAAATCGATTATTGAGTACTCGGATCTCTCGAAATTGGAATACATGTCTAGGGTAGGTAGTGCATAGGGCATGCCAGAGAACAACCGTTGGCTGAAGAGAGTGTGAATAGATGAATGGATAAAAGAATGAACACAATTTTTATTCATAAATTCATTCCTAAACACACTAATAAATAAATTAATAAAGTATTTCATTGAATAATTACAACTCAGTGTTCCAAGATAATCTCAAAATATTTGTACGTTGCAACATTGATATGATATGATTATGAAATTTATTATAATGCTCTTAAGTAAAATATGAATTAATGTTTAACAACTAAACATCCACAAACTGGACGCCATTTTTCTACCCGTTTTACGTTTTCTACATTATTTTGATAAGGTGGATATCAAAAGGAAATGCATGTTATTTTCGTGCAGGTTTGATTTTAAGTGAGCTAAAATATGTTTGATCACCCCATTGTCATATAAATTAAGTCCCTTTCACATCGGATCTGCGTAGGGTTGCGTAGTGTGGCGTACCGATTACACCGAAATTAAGTTGCGTATTCATGAAATAAATGTCGCTTCGGCGTAGTCCCTGCGTAGGTTATGCGTAGGCTGGCATACGATGGCGTATGGTTATGTATCATGTAAATAGGCACCGCGTACCTACGGCGTATGCAATTGGCGTATTTACGCGTACGATTGCATATAACCGGCGTAGGGTTGAGTATATTTACGTATGCCTGGCGTAAAGGGTATGTAGGTTTGCTTACGGTTGCGTACGCTTGCTTATTGTGGGCGCAAGCGCCGTACGTGCAAGCAGTCAATGTGCATAGGCTGCGCGCAGGTAGGATTTAGGACGCCTTTATACGCTTTTACTGCTTTATCGGAGTTGCGTAGGGTAGCGTACTATTGCGTAGGCATTGCGTACAGTAGCGTTGACTTGTTTTCCACAGTATGTATCATCGCATCTATTGTATATCATGTATTATATATGGTCATTTATTTGTTTATATCACACAGGGCTCCTGGTAGCCTGCTTATATTTTATTCAAATACATTGGTGAAGAAGAAAAAAAATATGCACACTTTAACATTTCATTCTTATCCGTAGGTATTTAAAGAAACAATGCGCCTTAACCCACCTGTAAGTGGTTTAAGCCGTGTCCTTGCTTCTGATGTTCAATCGTGTGGTTACGTCATTCCAAAGGGGACAACTATAATGGTGGGTATAGTCACAAATCATTTTATTTCGGCTTCGTCTCTCCACCCAGATATTAAAGATAAACTTGAGTTCTGGGCCCCGTTGTATAAAACTTAAGATTGATGGTAACCTTGCCATCAATGGCAACTACCATGGTAACAGGGCTCAACAGCCAATCAAAATCAAGGTTTTCATGGTAGTTACCATTAATGACAAAGTTACCATCAATGGTAAGTTTTGTGCAACGGGGGCCTGGTGTTTTTTTTTAAAATTCTAACAGAATCAAACGAAACTTTCACTGAATGTTCAAGACTACAAATAAATGTCATTTGCCAAATAATTTTGGTAAAAAATGTATACTATGAATATTTCATTGATGATATTGTCCAACATATTTACAATGGCTTCTGAAATATTGCATGGCATACTTATCTGTCGAGATACCCTACCCGTCCAGCATTACTGTTTCATCCAAACGAGACAAAGGCTGGCGTATGCTCGTCAGTGGCGTAGTCTAAAAAAATCCCCCCTTAATACATTTTGAAATATCAATACTTGAATATATAATGCATTACAGATGTTATATAGCGTTACTGAGTATTGTTTTTTTTATCAGGTTTCATTAATTATACCCTCTGATTCTTCGAAGTTTGTGGGGCACCGGTTCGTGTATGGTTTCAACAGATGAGCTGGGATGAAATGTGAAGAATTTTTTAAATTTTCTTATTTGATTCCTCACTAGTCAGTTGCCACGAATTCCTTCCGAAGAACATTTTGTTAGATCAGCGACTATTTCTATTTCTGAACATTAGTATAAGTTTCACTTGATTCTTTGAAAATGCCATTCCAGGATTACTAGAATGTAATATTAATTGTATATGATGACCTCGGAAATTCTATTTTGTTAACATTCTTATGACACGACTTTATCGATGCAGTTCATGACATACGTGACGTCACGATTGGAAGAGTTTTTCGATGATCCTCTTCTATTCAATCCTGATCGATTTATTCCAACTGATGAAACGTGAGTATATTGACTATCATGCCCTTATAAGCTCACACGAATATTCAGAATTCTCTGTAAGTACGGCCCTAGTCTGATAAAACGTGTGCATATATGGGCTTCATTTAATGCAAAAAAAAAATGCTACTGAGTACACTAATGTTAATTCGAAGTTTGTTGAAGCATTGACCATGACCATGACCATGACTGGTGACGTCATCTAGGCGCCATTTTGTGAAATTTTCTGAAAATCAAGATCATATCTTCATAACGTGTCATCAAAACTGAACCATGTTTGAAACACATAAACTTCAGGTTAAGGTTCACCATAAAATGTCATCAAAATCTGCGCACGCACCACGACGCGCACGTATGCGCGCGTCAAAATTTTTAATCAAATGAGAGTACATTTAAGGCCATTAAAGCATAAATAAAAATTGCGCTCGGGCGTTGTCACGCGTAACGCCATTACACAACATAGAATCGCCATTTTTTTCTTTCAAGATATTTCCCATTTTTTCCCGAACATTTTGATACCCTGTTTATTTCTGTAAGACTATTAATAACGGAATCAGCGTCCGTCAAGATAATAATGTTCGTGCGCGCGAGTTCATGTAATAGCATATATGGGCAAAAACATGCTTATACAAAAGTAAAGATGTTTGGGATGCACCCGGGGGGGGGGCGTTTTACAAAACTTGTCATCAGTGATAGATAACAGTTTTCGTCATAAGCTACTGGAATCCTTGTTTCTGATTGGTTATCAGCAGATTTGTCACTGATTTTTGTCAATTGTCATTGAACAAAGGCTTTGTGAAACACCCTCCTGGACCCCCCCCCCCCCCCATTTTTTCATATTTTGATAGAGTATGAGTCGGAGATATGATTTCATGTCTCATTTGACCATTAAAAATATTCTGACGTCATCATAATGGCCTTCGACGGAACTCAAAATATGAATTTGCATATTATGACGTCAGCATATTTATGGAAAATTGATTGTATCTCTGTAAATAAACGACTTTATTGTTACTATCATCATCGTTTTCATCATCATTAGTATTATCCAAATTTATTCCGTTCAAATCCGACAGAATATTATACGTGGAAGATCTTATTTGTATAATATCTTTTCAGGCCGAGGCACTTTTTTGCATACTATCCCTTTGCCATTGGGCAACGTAATTGTATCGGACAGCAAATAGCTCTGGTGAGTCTAATCTCCCCCCCTCTCTCTCTCTCTCTCTCTCTCTCTTTCTACATACTAGTAAAAGGGAAATCTAGTCTTAAATATCACAAGTCATTTAGCCGTCTTCAGTATCATAACAAACGAAAATATTAATGTCGTTTTTGTTCTATAAAGTCGTCAAGTTTTTAATGCAAACTTTGTAAACTTTATTTTCGCTAGTATAAATGAACAGTTTAATGTTCGTTTCATAATTATGATATTTTTAAGAAGTTTTACTACTTCTACTTCTACTACTTATACTACTTCTATTAATGATTATTATTATTACTACAATTATAATACTAATGATATTAATAATAATACTAATAATACTGCTGCTGCGGTTGCTACTACTAGTCTACTACTGCTACTATAAGTCCTACTACTACTATTTTTACTATGACTTCTACTACTTTACCATTGCTACCACTATAATACTACTAATACTACTTCTGCTGATGTTGCTAATACTAGTCTACTACTGCTACTATAAGTCTGACTATTACTACTACTATAGTACTACTACTACTACTACTTCTGCTGCTGTTACTTCTTACTACTACTACTACTGCTCTAAACCCTTTCTTTTTGACTAACTGTTTTTAATTTTGCAGATTGAATCAAAGGTGATCTTGGCAAAACTGTTGCAGAGTTTCGACTTTAGACTGGAGCAATCTCAGCGTCATATAATTCTTAGAGAGGTCACCAACAAACCGATTGATGGATGCAAGAATTACATTAGCCTCAGGGACTAAAGGTCGATTTAATCAAACTTAATTTCCAACCACATGGCGGAGAGATATGGCACCGTATGGACAGCGAAATATCGTCTTTCTAACCAAGGCTTGATCAGAAAGAAGATCAATGCAGAAAGAATTTTTTGGTTGCAAAGTCAAAACATCATCTGTAGAAATAAATGCCGCAGTTAGTAATAAAGGAAACAAGTCGTGTTGCGACGACTGAAGACATTCCTTATTAGACACGGCTTAATTCCCGACCCCACGAACACGATAACGATAAGCAAACTCAGCTGTAACTACGATTGTTATGTAACATTCTTTTTCGATAATACGAAATATCAACCCACTAGGGAAACAACTAAGACAACCGACTCACACAAGTGATGGATTTGTAAATGATGAGTAATTTACGTATCTTTTACAATATTACAATGCCCAATAAATATGTTCGCTTTGAAAAGCGTTATTCACTCCTATCCCACAAGACAAAGAGACAATTTGTATCTCCCCCCCCCCCCCAAATCCGGATTTTTTTTTTTTGCCACCAAAGCAATTATGTATACCGGTCCCTCTTTTTGGAATGGTTTGGATTCGGAGGTTAAGTAAACACCATCGTTAAATTGCTTTAAACGTAAAATTCGAGTTTTTCATTTAAATTCTTACATCTAATATGATTTTTTGCCATCCCCAGTCCCTTTTTCTTCAATGCTAATCTTAATTGTTAATTAATGATGCATGTCCGGTTTTTTAATGTATATAAACAAATTATTTTGTGCTATGCTAACTAAATTGCTCGGGTGACTACGCATTTTGACTACGCATTTAAACCCGGTGACTGTGGGGATTGGTGCTATTGCATTATTTTTTTATACAAATGTCCTTATTTCATTGTGTTTTAAATTCTCCCCTCTAAATTAAGTCTCTCTCTACTGCTACGGTTTTTTCATCTAAATTACTTATTTATTTTTTCCAGGAACCTATAATATACAAGCACTGCTTTTTAATAGGTACCTTACATTCTACTCAGTTAATCTATTATATGAATTGAGAATCATTGAGACGTGCTCATTTATACTACAAATGTATCATTATTTTTTTAATTTTATATATATGTCTATATTGTTTGTAAAATGTGGAACAAAAACAACTTCAAATTTAAAACTCGAAAACCCAACCATGAACCAAAGAACAAGTCTTTGCAATATTTAATCTGGACATCAAGTTGCCGTGGTGTGCTGTAGTAAATTCATCGCTGTGGAAATAAATCCGTGCATCGTTTCCCGAAACCGCCTTAAAGGCTAAATCCACTCCAAAAATAACTTGCTATTAATAGATGCAGAAAAACAAAAGAAACAGAGAAACAAAAAATTAGTAAATTCAGTTAACTGAAAGGGAAATTATGCATTTTGGAAAAAAGTATCGAAAAATGGAAATCACTACACGAATTGCTTATTTGGTTATCAGTTTTTGACGTCATTGCCTCACTATTTATCGATTGCTATATATATTTTTATCTCATTAATTTCCCTATTAATCGCCCAAAACTAGATTTTTCCATGCTTTTACCCAGGTTATATGATTTGTATCATATTGCGTGCATGACATTTTACAAAATCTTTAATGAACTTTGGAGAATTGATACTACTTTCTGATTATTGTATATTCATAATCATTGATTTTTGTATAAAAAGTGTTTCAAAATTCACATTTTTCATGATTTAACTCAACAAAATTACTCTTTATTAGTGCACCCACACATAACATATTACTATCAAAATAACTTGGATGCTGGTGTGAGGAAATAAGATTCTTAGGGGGAATCCGATTTTGCTCAAACTTGCTTCAATTAGTTTGTCTTATTTTTCTGCTTTTATCGAAAGTAAGCTGTTTTTGGAGTGGACTTGCCAGTTCAACGACATTCTATTGAAACGTGTGTTAATCGCAATACAGGCGTTTCAATATGATGTGGGTGAACTTGTACTTACTACTATATCGTGAAACGCTTGCCCTGGATTCAGACCTATGGGTTTTAATTCAGTCTGAAAATGAATGAAATGCTACATGAACACGAGACACCGACATTTTGTTGTCTCTGTTGTTATTCATATATATTATTGGACAGTACACTTTATCATGTTTATTGGAATTTACTTTTCTTCAGACTGTGTACGTGTATGTTTTTTGTAAATTTGTCAATACGTTCTTAATTGCATCAAATGTTATATAATCGTCATTTGATGTTTATGTTTTTGCAGACGTCATTCATTATAATAATATTAGTATACTGTATACCTTGTTCATGTATATTTACAAAGTATAAAATACTTCAATTATATCGAGGAACTTCAGTTGTCTTAGAACTAGTCGTTATTTGTAAAGCTTATAAAACTCTCACCTGCCGACATGATTTGATATGAATACAATAATGATATGCATTTTAAAGACTTAAAAGATGACATTGAAGCTTTTTTAATCAATATCAGTGATTACAAACTTCTATTTGGCTTTTAACCCTAATAAGGCGGGCTATTTGAAGTCTTACTACGGCCGGGGGGGGGGGCCATTATAGCCCCCCTAAGATCTCGGCCGTGAAACGGCCGATCTCCGCGAAAATTTGCACGCATGTCAAGTGAAGTGTATAGAACAATATGATAATTTCAATTTTTTTAAAAAAATCCCTCATTTGCATATTTATGGTAATTTATGCAAACAACGTCATAAAATCACATTTTTACCCATAAATCCTATATTATTCATATTTAAGCATTCCTTTTCACTACATATATTCATTAGACCATTTGGAACAATAATACGACAAAAAAAATCGGAAGAGCCAGCTTATTCCTTATGTTATCTCTTGTTTTGATAATTTCTTATGTATTTCATTGTTTTTTTAACTTATTTATGTTATTGTTTTTTGTTTTTTTTCATTTCTTCCTACAATTCAACTATTTTGACTCCCAAAACAACCACCTAGACTTTAAACAAGACCCAATAACCAATGTTTGATCTATTTTTAGGAAAAATGACATTTCCATATGTTTTGTACACAAATCACAAAAATGAGCGATTTTCGGGCTGACATGCATAGACAAAAGGTCACGTGACCTTGTAACTATAGGTCCGATTTTTTTTTTTTTTTTTTTTTTTAAGATGCGCAAGACTCTAAAGAAAAAAGTCAGCGAGCGGCGAGGCGCCATCCATATGCGTTCTCGAACAATCAGAAAAATCGTGGAGGGGGGGGGCCATTATGGCCCCCCCGGCCTTATTAGGGTTAACATACTTTGTAATGCCAGGCAAACAGTAAAGGCTGTTGATGAATGACGTCAATGACCTTTACTTCTCATACAAATGTTCAGTGGTAGCGTGTAGATGAAAAAGTATTATTTCTTTGTAGATGAAACCTGTTTCCCTCAATCAATACTCTCTTATTTAACAAGCTATCATGTACGTGGTTTTCTCCTGATTAATATCATTCTAGCTTTAATTAGTAACACGATGTTATAGTTCATATACAGTGTGAGTCCAAAAAAAGGTTTACACCTAGAAAATTGCTAATTATTTTAACAACCATCTATGAACAGTAAATTATTATCCATCTTATGAAAGAGTGTTTTCTCCCAAATCATTTGGAATCATTTTTGTGTGGTATGTGTTCAAGCTTGGATAAACAGGAGGCATTGTTTGCGAGAGTGCAAAAATCGACTTGCGCCAAAGTTGCTTATGTGACGTTTGAATAAAACAATTGGGATTTCGGTATTAATTCGGTCTTTGCAGATCCAAATAACACCCATTACAAAATTAATCATGCTACACAAGTCATATCAAATATCGAATATTAATAACCAACGAACATTTTGTGCGCGCGTGTGTTGTGTGTGTGAATTTGCTTCTGCAAAAAGCATATGCAATGCAATTCATTTGATACATTTAATTCATTCTCTCACTCCGCTAATCCCAACATAATACATACTGTAGGCATCACGCATGCCGTTTCCATCATCATTTTATGCTAAAATTAATCCTGGGATATTTGAATAGATGGCAGGTTTCGGGCGAATAGTCAATAATAATGTGTATAAAAGCAAAAGGAAATGTGATCAAGATAGCGCCCATATTTTCGTCACCGTATCAAAAATTTACACCAAATACAATAACAAATAAATGACAACAAAAGAGCAACAATAAAACAATACACAAAAGAAACAGAAAGTACACAGTACAGGAGATTTTAGAAACAATCGAACATAGAACAACAATTGTACAATTCACCTGGGTAGCACGTCCTTTTCATGTTTGCCTGTTTCCTCTCATTATCATTGAAACAATTATTGATTTTTATTGAAAATGTTCACGAAATATAAAATGATATCGAGGTTAATATTTTGTTATTTTAAATTTGACTTTTGTTCTCTCATGAGTTAACATTAATAGAGGGTCTACCTCTATAATTGTTTACGCATGATATATTTGTCGTTGAGAAACTGTTTACAAAGAAAATTAGTAAAAATGAATTCATATCTTATGTTAGTGGTGGAAATAAACAGTCGTTCATAGGGGAATTAAGATATTCTTATTCGTAAAAATGGAAATTGATATCGTGATATTTATTGCTGAAATTGCGTCCAATCAATCCCTATGAATTTTTCTTCACTGCTCTTTAATTGTTGCTTTTTCTTCACATCTTACATAATAAGCAGTCAATATACTAGAACAGTAATCATGATGCGATTGCGCCTCGAATTTAAGAATGTTCTATATCCGGCTTTAATTTCTGACCAAATCGTTTGTAAACATTTTCAACTGTACAAATGTCGTACGAATATATTACCTTTCCTCCCACTCATCCCTCTTTCCTCGCCTTTCATTAAATCATTCGCTCTTTTGATGAAAGGGGCATACTTTAATGCGAGAAATGTAAACAATCACAAACTGCTGCCATCATATTTCAGTCGTTTTCATTATTAAGCAGTGTGGATTAGTTTGAAATTCACTCGTCGGAGAGCCGATGTGTCTGTATTTAATAAAAAGATAAACAATGATAGCCACTCTCCTCCTCCTTTCGTCATCGTATCAAGTCTCCGTTTCCATAGCGATTTTTAGTATGTCTTTGGTTTCATTAACGTAGCAGCTTTAACCCTATCGTTGCTAATTCAGACATATTACATGTACGTGTAACGTCATTGACCAGTTGATGCTAAAGAGAGGTTTAACCCTCATCAGAGATAGGGATGAATGTGGGAGAGTTGGAAATAGGATGGCCTTTCACCTAAGTACCTTTTCCTCTAATGGTTAAGTTAATACTGTAATGAATGGATTTACAAGGCAACCTTAATGTACATACCTGGAAACCTTTCAATGAAACTTGTAACTTTATTAGTTATTTTATTGTTTTCTACAGATGGAGGGATTGTCTTAAGTTTGCGGGTGTCATACTATATTATTTATTTTTAATGCTTTAAAATCACAAATGTTCATGATCTCAAAATTACATCTCAATACATTATTGATACACAATTGCCTTACTATTATACACGTATAAAGTTAATTTCAAAATTAGCTTGATGTATGCCTCTGTCCACAGTATCGCAGCTCCTGACAAATAGGCTATTGCTTTGTTTTGATATTCCAACAAAACATTCTTTTTTTGTTCTTTAAAAAAATGTTCGTCAACAGCTATGTGAATATAAGGCTACAGCCCGAGCATGAGACCGACAGCTCAGATCGATCTTCTTCAGATTGTCAACTTATAGCTGACAAAGTCGTTGTCTATGGCTGACGGTCCACTAGGATGTCTAAAACCTGAAAATACATATGACAAGGCGGCTTTGAAACGGTCATTGGAATTAATATTACATTTCCCAAAGCTCGCGTTTTAATGAAAGTGAGCATCCCAGCCGCGCTGCATTTGTCAATCTTCATTTACAACATCCGCCTCCGACATCCTCATGTATACTTAAGAGACAGTTCTCGGGCGATGCCTCGCATTAATGGTACCTCTGAAAATGAAAAGCAGTCTGTTCAAGGAACATCTTTGTAGTATCACCGCTTAAAGTATGAATTCATGATTCTATTTTAACATTCAATTGACTGAGTGACTACGTTTCATTTCGATGCTACCGATGGGTAGCGTTGCCTAATGGCCATTGTTAAATTCATCAATTCATCCAACTTGCACTAGCATTAAGAAAAACTGAGAGCTCAGATAGTCTCTACCGAGTTGAACGAATTATTGATTTCAGGAAATTTGAAAGACGACCACTGATCATTTAGGTATGTATTACTTTTTGTAGTCTATGGATGTTCTATTTCTATTCATCAATAAAACTGGAGCATCGATCTTTCAAGAATAAAAAACTGAACGTAGTTCTGAAGCAGATTGTAAAGTGTTTAGCTCATGAATCTATTTCGACAAAACCTTAATCTAAAATGAGAAATATTCCATGCTCATCTTTACAATGCCCCCCCCCCCCCCGGCTTGCCAGGACTCAGGGGCATCCCTGTTACGGAATGCAACAAGTCTATGGAAACGAAGGCTTAAAGGTAATACAAAGTTTTGGTATGGGGTCATGAATTTGTTTCAAATAAACATACTGGCAGCATATGTGATCCTACAATATTCATTGCTCGTTATCGCGGTTGAAATCGAGTCTAAAGTTATTAAATTGTAATTAATTAACTCTTTATGTTGTATAGCTCCCTCTCAAGGTCAAGATATTAATTGAGCTATAAAACGATGTTTCTTGACTAAAATCGACCGATTAGCTATTCCCGTTTGGAAATTATATATCACAACTACATATTCTGAAATTTTCATGGTCGCAGCTACCATTGTACGGCCGTAGGCGCTGTTTGAAATTTATCAAAATTTACCGGGAGCACCGGTAAATTTTTATATTTAATTTGTCTTGAAAGCAAAAGTGTTTTAGGGACTAAATTGTCTAGTGCTTATTATACATCAACAGGGTCATCCAAATATATAAAAATTATAAAGAATCACTATCCACCCAATTTTCAAAATTTCCCAAAACTTTGTATTACCTTTAACTTTAGGTAGATTTTTTCGAAAGTTCATGTTCATTTAAAGAGATGCTGCTCATTGGATTGCTGCTGGTAGGAAAAGGGCTATTTCAACGCCTTCAGCCGTTGACCAGGTGTCAGATTTAAAGTCACATTTCGACAATCGCATGATCCCCCCCCCCCCACCCCCTTATACAGTATTAATTTTTTTTTCGCTTCTAAGTTTTTGAGTAGTCCGCCGAAATAAAAATAAAAGATCGGTCAAATTCCGATCGCTTTTTGCATTTATCTTGATATCATGAAAAACTTTTCATTTAATTACATATTAATGCACTATTTTCCAAACGTGTCTAGTTTCTAGGAATCAGAACGAACTATGGCTTCGACCAAATGTCGGTCTGGCGTACTTATTGTTCCCATCTTGCTATGGATGACCAGGACTATCATCTCGACAACGATGCCGACAACTGACTTTGCCAAGATCACTACATTTTCGGAGTCCATACCTCGACGTCACAGGCGAAATTCAACGGACAGGAATAATAGTAGAGCTATGGAAGAGCTGATGAATCCACCTGTAGAAGCTCAAGGCAAGTTTGGTAATTCTTTCCCAAGCAAGAGGCGAAGGGCTTTTGTACACATTTTGATCTGCCTCTTTTTTGTTGGTTTTTGCTCACAAAAATAAGTTTCAATAAACTATGAATCAGTTTGACAACTGCGCAAAGACTCAAACGTAATTTCGATTAGCTATTGCATAGCCGAGAGATATTATTATACAAATAATGAATGGTTATGAGTTCAATAGTGCGAATATTTTCATGAGTTGAAAGAATTAACGTTAATCTTTCAACGAATGAAAATATTCGCACCATTGAACAAATGAAAAACATTCATTATTTGTTTTATACAACATCGAAGAAGATCTGATAGAACGTTAATCAACAAATGATGCTTTACTCCTTATATTAAAGATAAATTAAAGTTGGAGTCAAGCCTTCTCGATTACATTCAGATTGCCTTCGCGTCAGATACACGCAGGGATACGCGCGCGCACGGCTGAGAGGTACGCAGTCTGCATATAACCAAAAATGCACGGCGCATTAACCAAAAATGCACGACCGTGCAATATAACATCTATTGAATATCATGTGACCAACAATCCTCCAATCAAATGACAAGGATCCACGTAGGTGTTGTATAAACTCGTATAACGTAATGTGTCATTGTAACGTGTGAACATGTTCAAAAGCGATGGATAAGGTTATTTTTCGAAAGTGCGATGGATGGTGTTGTTAGAAGAAAAAAGAAGCAGAAGAAAGTGAATGTCACGAATTAATATTACATTCTGACTTTGTTTCAAGATTGCTTATGTGCCTTTATTCTATATTGATGTAAGATGTATGAGACCAATTGTTATTTATGATGATTAAAGTTTTATTTAAAGAGAAATATGGTCAAACCATACAGCTTTGTCATATTTTTGGCATCTATTGAGATTACAACGCAAGGGATTTGACTTAAATCGGGGTGACATGTTTCTCTACATTTGTGGAAGGTGTACCTTTTTGCTAGGCTAAGCCGAGCCTACATTTTTTTTCTTCTGAAAGATGTATTCTAAAAACTTGAAATCAATATGTCAGTCTAGGTCAGGAATAACTGCTATCTAGTATAAATGTGAGAAGAAATAGTAATAATAATTAAACATTTATAACTTCTTACTACAAAATAGGGTATCATAAGAAACAAGTATACGTTAATAGTAGATTATCCTTATATATTCCAAAGTACATAAAAAATTGAAATTATTAAATGGTCAGTCAAAATTCGAAAAAATTAGTTATTCAGCTTACTCGGCCTTCTCATATTAACCCCTTGTTTGTATCCAATAACATGCCTTAGTACTAAAGAGGGTTAAGAATTATATTCATGATGAAATAAAACACTTTAATCGCTTCCACAAAAATCTCCATATTTGATTTCCGGATTACCATTAATTTTAGGATGGTACTGTGAGTGGACATTTTATTGCTGTAAACATTGTTATACCTTCTAGTTTCTACATGAATATCATCATGTATACACAAGTAGCGGACTTGTCATCAGGAGGAAATCATGCTGTGGCAATTATTGCTGATCAGTTTTGGGAGTTTTTTCTCTATGCACTCACCGTACTACATATAATGGACTGCTTGTACTAATATTTTACTCTCAATTTATATGAGACCACTCGAATCTTAAATGTACTTCTCATTTCCATCATTTATTTTCCAGATGATCAATCTAACATAACGACAGGAAATTTGACGATTCCGATTTGTCTCGACAAGCACGTTTGTCCCGAAAGATCCTGTACAGTTCCTCAGGACACGAATCAGGCATGTAGCTGTGATGAGATGTGTACCTTCTTCGGTGACTGCTGTCCTAGGACCCTGTCCAAGGAACATCCAAGAAATTGCCACCTAAACGGGGGAAAGAATTTTTCAAGCATATATGACCAGTCGCAATTTAGCTGTGCACAGGTAGCGTCGTCTCCTAGTTCAGCCTATTTCTATCTTATCTCCAAATGTTCAGGTCCAGTGGGCAATGATTGGATTAGGGAGAAATGCGAGTCCGCCTCTCTCCCTACAGGAGAATTCAGTCTTGAGTCTGTCCCACTTTCTTTGGGAAATATCGTAAGCTACAGAAACGTGTACTGCGCGATTTGTAATGAAAAGGATCCTTTACAACTAAAACCATGGTTGGTTACGATGCAATGTTCTGATGACGTCATTGAAGAGCTGAAGAACAAAATGCGAACACTAGAGGAAGTGGTTCGTGACCAACTCTGCCCGTTTTCTGTGGATCCTTCTTCCGATGGTACATCGGCGAGAGAATGCGTAAAGAAGGGAGATGCATCAAGTTACGTAGACACTTGTCCACTTTCCTCTGACATGGGGCTACAACTGGCATGCGCGTCTTTTAGCGCGCATATTTTCTTGAAGAGCAACTTAGGGTGTGTTGCCTATAAGAACCCAGCTTGTTATGCGTGCAGTGTCGGACATTTGCCGGACCAAAAGCGAATTTGTACTAGTGGTTGCCTTAAATCTAAAGTTCCAGGAGTCATACTACCCTTGTCAGTCCTTTTCGACTTTTCATCTCAGAGTGGGGTTAGAATACTTCAAGATGACACGCTCGTTTCTGAAACTACAGTTATGTGTCAGTCAGGAGAGGTGTTCGATCCATACGCCGGATCATGTATGAGACTTTCATGTCCTGAAGGCTACGAAATGATTGGAAATCAAAAGTGGAAAGTGCAAAGGAAATTTCATCAGATGACTTGGCATGCAGTCTCCTAACATCAGACAGCAGCCAAGTCGTCACTGCTACCGTGATTACAAATGACCAAGGCTTGTGCGCAAGTCAGCAATCGAGGGTTCAAAATTGCAATTTAGACAGGTTAATACTTGCTATGCAAAACCATTCCATGTTAGAATGTAAGGAAAATGAACTTGATGATCAGTACGAGACAATTTTCATATGGCGATTTGAAGAAGACTGCCAACTGACTGATTATGAAAGCAGCATAATCTCTGAGTTATCTGAAAAGAATACGAACAACACAGTTTGCAATATCTCCTCTTTTTCCATATACAGTCGTTGTAAACCAAATGATATTGGCACGGGTACACAGGCCTTCAATAAAACGTTCACACAGCCAACAGATACTACTGCTCACGAAGGCGACTTAAATCCCATCACCAGGGCTCCGGGCACAAGTTCCAGCAATGAATTTAAGGTACTTAAAACAAAATACAATTTGATCCACGAAAGAAATGATAACATGAAGAACATGTCTACGTTCACATGTAGCTTAACTGCAACGGAGCTTCTATGTTCAAGTTCTGTATTCAATATAAGTCTGTTCGTTCGTCTAGGGGATGATGGCATGCTGCAGTACGTGCCATCGGGTGATGTAATCAATCCTGCCGAATATGTCTCACTTGGTGATGGCACGATCCAAGCTTGTCAGTTCTTGAGTCAAAATGGCACCGTCAACGAAACTACAACATATTCCTTTTTCCGCTACTCATCCACACAAACAACCCTTAGCCTAGCAGGCACAACCCTGTCGCTTGCGTCTCTATTCATTACGCTTGTTTGCTACATCACGTTCCCTACACTTCGTCGACTAGTCAGCAACCAGCTAATCATGGCTTTTTGCGGAACGCTCTTCGTTGCACAGTGTCTTTTCTTGTTCGGCGGTATGGCCAGTTCGGTGTCCCAAAACCTGTGCAGAACCCTCGCGGCGTTCTTACACTTCTTTTGGTTGTCTGTGTTCACCCTGTCCTCTTCAATCGCATTCGATCTTCGTCGGACCTTTGGATCTAACAAGACTATCAGGGTATCTACGGCAAGTCGCAAGGTCTTGTCACTTAACATAGCAGTCGCCACTGGGATACCCTTGTTAATTGTGGTTATCAGTCTGATCCTGAGTGTCTTCGTAGGTGATGACATTGATTTGCATTACGGTAACGAGTTAGCTTGTTGGGTTGGAGGTGGAAAAGCCAACCTCGTCGTGTTTGGTGTGCCAGTTGTTGTCCTGTTGGCGTTCAACTTCTTCTGCTTCATGGATACAGTACGTGGTATATCCCATTCCAAAAGGGACAGCATGAACTTACACGAGGGAACAGAAAATCGAAGCAACCATCAGGAACTTCTCAAAATCGCCATAAAGGTAGAAATATTAAGATGAATTTGTCCCTGCCCATCAGAAGCAAATGAAAATATCATTCTCTTCTTAGCTTTGCGTTTTCCCATACCTTATACTGCACAGAAATTCTATATACGTAAATTTATCACATTTCGTGCATTCAAATGCATCAAACATCACGATGTAACCCCTTTTAATAGTCTTCGCAAGTATCATACTACCAGTCGATACAATATATTGTAATACATTCATTAGAATATTCATCAGAATCGACTAATCACCATAAGATAATCGAGTGTATTTCACGTTTCTATGACTTCTGATGAATTCTCTCTTTCGAAAAAAAAGCGTATTACTTTATCCTTTATTGACATATTATTAAGTACAATATAAATTATTACATACATTCATGGTCATATAATTGCCATGTCAAATCATTTTTTAAACCAAGGAACCAATGGAAGTGCAACTATGTTCCTGGTATTTCATGAGATTCAGCAGATAACTCCAAGGCCTAATTGCTCTACATGTATACTGATGAACGCGTCAGTAAGTTTGCTGGGGGAATAAGTAAATTTTCTTCACATCTAAAGTAGTTCTATTTTCTGTATTCTTGATGAGGCGGTTCGGGCGTATAGGGTTATTTGGAATGTAATGATTGAATCTCAAATATAACGACTATGTTACCGCAGAAAAAATAAAGTGAGAATGGGAAGCTCTATCTTTTGCTAGTCTGCCAACTATATTTCACCATGATTCTTGAATTGTTCGATGTTTTCTTCCCTCAATACAGATCTCTTCGCTCATGGGTTTCACATGGTTCTTCGGCTTCGTAGCTGCTTTCAGCAAACATCAAGCCGTATGGTACATCTTCATCATCCTCAACTCACTCCAGGGTGTGTACATCTTTCTGGCTTTCGCTGCTACCCGCAGAGTGTTCGATTTATGGCGTGGTCTAGTGCTGGAGAAGACCGTCGATACCAGCCTTCGTGATTCCTCTCTGCAGCTTAGGGATAGGTCGACGTCGAGCTATGTACAAAAGACATCCACATAATAGATACCTTACATCTTAGGTTGTTCCTTCCTGGGGAGGATATCGATCTGCAAGTTCCTTGCAATGCGTTCTGTAATAAACATATTACTATCAAATAACTTGGATGCTGGTTTGAGGATGTAAGATTCTTAGGGGGAATCCGATTTTGCTCAAACTTGCTTCAATTAGTTTGTCTGATTTTTCTGCTTCTATTGAAAGTAAGCTGTTTGTGGATTGGACTTAATTGCCCTTTAAGTATGATATACCAGTTCAACGACATTCCATTGAAACGCGTGTTAATCGCAATACAGGCGTTTCAAAAGGATGTGGGTGAACTTGTACTTACTACTATATCGTGAAACGCTCCCCCTGAATTCAGACTTATGGGTCTTAATTCAGTCTGAAAATGAAAGAAATGCCTCACGAACACGAGACACTGATATTTTGTTGTCTGTTGTTATTCATATATATTATTGGACATTACACTGTATCTTGTACATTGGAATTTACTTTTCTTCAAACTGTGTACGTATATATTTTTTGTAAATATATTATACGTTATTAATTGTATCAAATGTTATTTAATTGTCATTTGATGTTTATGTTTTTGCAGACGTCATTCATTATAATAATATTAGTATGCATGCATTTCGTAATATACTGTATACCTTGTTCATGTATATTAACATGTATATTAACAAAGCATAAAATACTTCGAATAAATATCAAGGAACTTCAGTTGTCTTAGAACTAGTCGTTATTCGTAAAGCTTATAAAACTCTTACCTGCCGACAAGATTTGATATGAATACAATAATGATATGCATTTTAAAGACTTAAAAGATTATATTGAAGCTTTTTGAAATGAATATAAATGATTACAAACTTCTATTTAACTTTTAACATACTTTGTAATGAGGAAAACAGGAAAGGCAGTTGATGAATGACGTCAATGACCTTTACTTCTTATACAAATGTTCAGTGGTAGCGTGTATATGAAAAAGTATAGTTCCTGTGTAGATGTAATAAATAGATAAAAACATGTTTCCCTCAATCAATACTCTCATATTTGACAAGCTATCATGTTTTCTCCTGATCGCTATCCTACTAGATTTAATTAGGAACACGATTTTATATTTCATATATGGAGAACTGTCGATGACTTTTGATCCGGTATAAAGAGCATGACAACATACTTGATAAGCACGATTTAAGTCCTTTCTATTTTAATTGTATGCTATTAGGATGACTTGTCATGTATATATTTTTAATGATAATAAATATAGTATTTCAGCGGTTGACGAGAAATGACCAATTGAAGGAGAAACAATAAATCAACCGTAGAATATACCCAATATACGATTTTAGGCTTTCAGCCTTTTAGCCTTTGTCAAGTAAAGGCTGAAAGCTAATGCAAAGTTTTAGGAAATGTTGAAAATTGGATTGATAGTAATTCTTTAAAATGTTGACTTTTTTTTATACCCCTGTGGATGTATTATATTCAAAAAATGTTAGCCCCTAAAACGCTACTGCTTTCGAGAAATTGAATAATCAAAAATTTACCGGTGCTCCCGGTAAATTTCAAATATTTCACGGCCATTCACTTATAGCTGCGACCAAGAAAAACTCAGAATATCCAGTTCTGATATATAATTTCCAAACGAGAATAGTAAATCGGTCGATTGTAAAAAAAAACAACAACATAGTTTTGAAGCTAAATAAATATCAGTCTTGAGAGGGCGCTATACAACATAAAAAGTTTATTATTTAAAATTTCATCACTTCAGACTCGATTTTAACTACGATGACGATCATTGAATATTGTAAAATCGCATATGCTTCTAATATGTTCATTTGAACCAAATTTATGACCGAAAATTCGTATTTTTCGTATAATTATATCCTTCGTTCGTATAAATATTTTTTCTTCTTCACTGTCTTGAATATAGAAAAAACAATTTTGATTTTCATCATCCTCCGTCACGGCAATATATAAATAATGATTAAAAAATTGTAATAAAAATCCTCGAAAGTTCTCAAGTTCTTCCTATCAGAAGAATGGAACTACCAAGGATTATTATTCAATCGTTCTAATTACTATTGACATATATATATATATATATATATAGAGAGAGAGAGAGAGAGAGAGAAAGAGAGAGAGAAGAGAGAGAGAGAGGGGGGGGATAGAGGGAGAAAAGTAGAGAGAGAGAGGGGGAGGATGAGGAGGAAGAGAAATAAGGAGAGAGGGGCTTGAGGAGAAGATGAGAATGGGATGACGGATATTTGATAAGAGAAAAAAGGAGATTGGGCGAGAAAGACCTACACAAACGCTCGTCACACACAAAAAAACACACACCCACACTTTCGTAATCTTGTAATTGAATTTCACATCAATGATATATGACTTCATTCGATTTGCAAACGTACGGACATGCAATCATGGAAGGAAAATAGATTTGTAAAACCCAGAGGAGAGCAACAGTTGACAAGTCATTTCTACAATGAATTATTAATCTTTAAAATGGTATCCAAATAAATGAGATATACATGTACTCACTTGAAAATCGGATCCACCATGCCTGGTCGCATCTTGCAATCATCGAAAGTGATGTTCCTATTCATTCTCCTGCCGGCTTGTTAGAATCTCGACTATGAACGAGTGAAACGCATGCCGTTTCCGTCATTATTTGTGGCTAAAAATTAATCCTTGGATATTTGAATAGATGGCAGGTTTCGGGTGAATAGTCAATAATAATGTGAATAAAAGTAAAAGAAAATGTGATCAAGATAGCGCCCATATTTCCGTCACCGTATCAAAAATTTACACCAAATATAATGAAAAATAAATTACAACAAAAGAGCAACAATAAACCAATACACAAAAGAAACAGAAAGTACACAAAACAGGAGATAAAAAACAATCGAACATAGAACAAAAATTGCACAATTCGCCTGTGCCCGGGGATAGCACGTCCTTTTCATGTTTGCCTGTTTCCTCTCATTATCATTGAAACAAATACTGACTTATCTATTTCAGTCTCCAAAACCCAGAACTCTAGGGCAAAATTATATCCACCGGAACATATAAAATTATATCGAGGTTAATTTTTTCTTATTTTAAATTTGACTTTTGTTCTCTCATGAGTTAACATTGATAGGCGGTCTACCTCTACAATTGTTTACGCATGATATATTTGTCGTTGAGAAACTGGCAAAGAAAATTAGTTAAATGCTTTCATATCTTAGGTTAATGGTGGAAACAAACAGTCGTGCATAGGGGAATTAATATATTCTTATTCGTAAAAATGGAAATTGATATCGTGATATTTTTTGCTGAAATTCATCCTATCAACCTCTATGAATGTTTCTTCACTGCTCTTTAGTTGTTGCTTTTTCTTCACATCTTTCATCATAAACTGTCAATATACTAGAACAGTAATCATGATGCGATTGCGCCTCGATTGTAAGAATGTTCTATTCCGGCTTTAATTTCTGACCAAATCGTTTGTAAACATTTTCAACTGTACAAATGTCGTACGAATATATTATCTTTCCCCCACTCATCTCTCTTTCCTCGCCTTTCATTAAATCATTCGCTCTTTTGAAGTAAAGGGGCATGATTTAATGCGAGAAATGTAAACAATCAAAAACTGCTGCCATTATAATTATTTCAGTCGTTTTCATAATAAAGCAGTGTGGATTAGTTTGAAATTCACTCGTCGGAGAGCCGATGTGTCTGTATTTAATAAAAAGATAAACAATGATAGCCACTCTCCTCCTCCTTTCGTCATCGTATCAAGTCTCCGTTTCCATAGCGATTTTTAGTATGTCTTTGGTTTCATTAACGTAGCAGCTTTAACCCTATCGTTGCTAATTCAGACATATTACATGTTCGTGTAACGTCAGTGATCAGTTGATGATCACGAGAGGTTTAACCCTCAACGAAGATAGGGATAATTGTGGGCGAGTGGGAAAGAGGATGGCTTTTCACCTAAGTACCTTTTCCTCTATAAATGGTAAAGCTCTTTACTGTAATGAATGGATTTACAAGGCAACCTTAATGTACATACCTGGAAACCTTTTGATGAAAGTTGTAACTTTAATAGTTATTTCATTGCTTCCGACAGATAGAGGGATTGTCTTAAGTTTGCGGGTGTCATACTGTATAATTTATTTTAATGCTTCAAAATCACTAAATTTCATGATTTTAAAATTACATCTCGATACATTATTGATACATAATTGCCATTATATATATATAAAGTTTAATTTCAAAATTAGCTTGATGTATGTCTCTGTCCACAATATCGCAGCTCCTGACAAATAGGCTATTGCTTTGTTTCGATATTCCATCAAAACATTATTTTTTGTTCTTTAAAAAGATGCTCATCAACAGCTATGTGAATATAAGGCTACAGCCCGAGCACGAGACCGACAGCTCACATCAATCTCGAGGCTCTTCTAACTTTTCATTTCTTCAGATTGTCAACTAATAGCTGACAAAGTCGTTGTCTTTGGCTGACGGTCTACTAAGATGTCTAAAACCTGGAAATACATATGACAAGGCGGCTTTGAAACGTTCACTAGAATTAATATTAATTTCTCAAGGCTCGCGTTTTAATGAAAGTGAGCATCCCGGCCGCGCTGCATTTGTGAATCTTCATTTACAACATCCGCCCCGACATCTTCATGCGTACTTAAGAGACAGCTCTCGGGCGATGCCTTGCATTAATGGGACCTCTGTAAGCGAAGAGGAGTCTGTTTAAGGAACATCTTTGTAGTATCACCGCTTTAAAGTACCAATTCATGATTCTGTTTTAACATTAAATTGACTGAGTGGGTACGTTTCATTTCGATGCTACCGATGGGTAGCGTTACATATTGGCCATTGTTAAATTAATCAATTCATCCAACTTGCACTAGCATTAAGAAAAACTGAGAGCTCAGATAGTCTCTACCGAGTTGAACGAATTGATTGCAGGAAATTTGAAAGACGACCACTGATTATTTAGGTATGTATTACTTTTTGAAATATATAGATGTTCTATTTCTATTCATCAATACAACTGGAGCATTAATCTTTCAAGAAGAAAAAACTGGACGTATTGACATCAATACGTTAGTCCTGAAGCAGATTGTAAAATGTTTAGCTCATGAATCTATTTCGACAAAACCTTAATCTAAAATGAGAAATATTCCATGTTCATCTCTTCAACGCCCCCCCCCCCCCCCGGCTTGCCAGGACTCGGGGGCGTCCTTTTAACGGAATGCGACAATTTTATGGAACGAAGGCTTAACTTTAGGTAGATTTTCCGAAAATTCATGTTCATTTAAAAAGATGCTGCTCACTAGATTGCTGAATGGTAGGAAAAAGGCTATTTCAACGCCTTCAGCTGTTGACTATAGGCGTCAGATTAAAATCACATTTCGATAATCGCATGATTCTCCCCCCCCCCCCCCTCCCTCCATTATACAGTATTGATTTTGTTTCGCTTCTGAGTTTCTGAGTAGTAAGCCGAAATAAATATTTTTTTCGGTCAAATTCCTATCACTCTTTGCCTTTATCTTGATATCATGAACAACTTTTCATTTAATTACATATTTATGCACTTTTTTCCAAACTTGTCTATTTTCTAGGATTCAGTACTAACTATGGCTTCGACAAAATGTCGGCCTGGCGTACTTATCGTTCCCATCTTGCTATGGATGACCAGGACTATCATCTCGACAACGATGCCGACAACTGACTTTGACAAGATCATCATGGAAAATTCAACGGACATGAATAATAGTAGAGCTATGGACGAGGAGATGGAGCCATCTTTAGAAGCTCAAGGCAAGTTTGGTAATTCTTTCCCAAGCAGGAGGCGTAGGGCTTTTGTACACATTTTGATCTGCCTTTTTTTTTGGTTTTAACTTCTCACTACCAAATAGGGAATCATAAGAAACAAATATATGTTAATAGTAGATTATATTTATATATTCTAAAGTACAAGAAAAGTTGAAATTATTTAATGATTGGTCAAAATTCGAAAAAAATGAGTCATTCATCTTACTCGGCCATCTCATATTAATAATAACAATAACATTTAGCTTTTATATAGCGCTTAATACAAATGTCTCTAAGCGCTTTACAAATATACCATTACCCCGGTCATTGGATTCAGTGCTTGCCCGCACACACTGTGTGCACAATCTCCAATCCCTGGGGAGCATTCCAGCCAGGCGTTACTTGACGCTCAAAACTGTTTGACCGACAATTACGGTCGCATCCTACCGGGTACCCATTTAACACCTGGGTGGAGAGTAGCAAGTGCAGGTTAATATCTTGCCAAAGGATGTTAGTGCCGTGTCGGGATTTGATTCCTCGACCTTCGCATATACAGTCAAGCGCTTTAATCCGTTGTTTGTATCCATTAATAGGCCTCTAGGACTAAAGAGAGTTACGAATTTTATTAATGATGAAATAAAACTCTTTAATTGCTTCCACAACAATCTCCATATTTGATTTCCGCATTACTATTAATTTTAAGATGGTACTGTGGGTGGACATTTTGTTGCTGTAAACATTGTTATACATTCTAGTTTCTATACATGTATATCATCATGTATAAAAAAAAAGAGCGGACTTGTCATCAGGATAAAATCATGCTGTGGCAATTGCTGATCAGTTTTGGGAATCTTTTCTCTATGCGTTTACCGTACTACTTATCATGGACTACTTGTACTATCGTTTTAATCTCAATTTATATAAGACCACTAGAATCTTAAATTTACTTTTCATTTCCATCATTTATTTTCCAGATGATCATACTAACATAACGACAGGAAATTTGACGATTCCGATTTGTCTCGACAAGCACGTTTGTCCCGAAAGATCCTGTACAGTTCCTCATTACACGAATCAGGCATGTAGCTGTGATGAGATGTGTACCTTCTTCGGTGACTGCTGTCCTAGGACCCTGTCCAAGGAATATCCAAGAAATTGCCACCTAAACGGGGGAAAGAATTTTTCAAGCATATATGACCGGTCTCAATTTAGCTGTGTAAAGGTAGCGTCGTATGCTTGTTCAGCCTATTTCTATCTTATCTCCAAATGTTCAGGTCCAGTGGGCAATGATTGGATTAGGGAGAAATGCGAATCTCCCTCCCTCTCTTCAGGAGCATTCAGTCTTGAGTCTGTCCCACTTTCTTTGGGAAATATCGTAAGCTACAGAAACGTGTACTGCGCGATTTGTAATGAACAGGATCCTTTACAACTAAAACCATGGTTGGTAACGATGCAATGTTCTGATGACGTCACTGAAGAGCTGAAAAACAAAGAGCGAACACTAGAGGAAGTAGTTCGTGACCAACTCTGCCAGTTTTCTGTGGATCCTTCTTCCAACGGTACATCGGCGAGAGAATGCGTAAGGATGGGATGTGCATCAAATTACGTAGACACTTGTCCGCTTTCCTCTGACACGGGGCTTCAATTGGCATGCGCGTCTTTTAGCGCGCATATTTTCTTGGAGACCAACTTTGAGTGTGTTGCCTATAAGAACCCAGCTTGTTACGCGTGCAGCGTCGAACATGTGCCGTACCACGAGCGAATTTGTACAGGTGGTTGCTATGGAGGTTTTGGAGCGATCTCTTCCATACCCTTGTCAGTCCTTTTCGATTTTTCATCTCAGAGTGGGGTCAGAATACTAGAGTATGACACACTCGTTTCTGAAACTACAGTTGTGTGTCAGTCAGGAGAGGTGTTCGATCCATACGTCGGATCATGTTTGAGACTTTCATGTCCTGAAGGCTACGAAATGATTGGAAATGAATGTGCAAAGGAATTGTCAGCCCCGTTTTCATCAGATGACTTGGCATGCAGTCTCCTAACATCATACAGCAGCCAAGTCGTCACTGTTACCGTGATTACAAATGACCAAGGCTTATGCGCAAGTCAGCAATCGAGAGATCAAAATTGCAATTTAGACAGGTTAATACTTGCTACGAAAAACCATTCTTTGTTAGAATGTGAGGAAAATGAACTTGATGATCAGTACGAGACGGTTTTCATATGGCAATTAGAAGAAGACTATCAACTGACTGATTATGAAAGCAGCATACTCTCTGCTTTATCTGAAAAGAATACAAACAACGCAGTTTGCAATATATCCTCTTTTTCCATGTACAGTCGTTGTAAACCAAATGATATTGGCACGGGTACACAGGCCTTCAATGAAACGTTCACACAGCCAACAGATACTACTGCTCATGAAGGCGACTTAAATCACTTCACCAGGGCTCCGGACACAAGTTCCAGCAATGAATTTAAGGTACTTAAAACAAAATACAATTTGATCCACGAAAGAAATAATAACATGAAGAACATGTCTACGTTCACATGTAGCTTAACTGCAACGGAGCTTCTTTGTTCAAGTTCTGTATTCAATATAAGTCTGTTCATTCGTCTAGGGGATGATGGCATGCTGCAGTACGTGCCATCGGGTGATGTAATCAATCCTGCAGAATATGTCTCACTTGGTGATGGCACGATCCGAGCTTGTCAGTTCTTGAGGCAAAATGGCACCGTCAACGAAACTACAATTTATTCCTTTTTCCGCTACTCACCCACACAAACAACCCTTAGCCTGGCAGGCACAACCCTGTCGCTGGCGTCTCTATTCATTACGCTTGTTTGCTACATCACGTTTCCTACACTCCGTCGACTAGTCAGCAACCAGCTAATCATGGCTTTTTGCGGAACGCTCTTTGTTGCACAGTGTCTTTTCTTGTTCGGCGGTATGGCCAGTTCGGTGTCCCAAAACCTGTGCAGAACCCTCGCGGCGTTCTTACACTTCTTTTGGTTGTCTGTGTTCACCCTGTCCTCTTCAATCGCATTCGATCTTCGTCGGACCTTTGGATCTAACAAGACTATCAGGGTATCTACGGCAAGTCGCAAGGTCTTGTTACTTTACATAGCAGTCGCCACTGGGATACCCTTGTTAATTGTGGTTATCAGTCTGATTCTGAGTGTCTTCATAGGTGATGACATTGATTTGCATTACGGTAACGAGTTAGCTTGTTGGGTTGGAGGTGGAAAAGCCAACCTCGTCGTGTTTGGTGTGCCAGTTGTTGTCCTGTTGGCGTTCAACTTCTCCTGCTTCATTGATACAATACGTGGCATATCCCATTCCAAAAGGGACAGCATGACCTTACACGAGGGAACAGAAAATCGAAGCAACCATCAGGAACTTCTCAAAATCGCCATAAAGGTAGGAATATTAAGATGAATTTGTCCCTGCCCATCAGAAGCAAATGAAAATCATTCTCTATCTAGCTTTGCGTTTTCCCGTATACCTTATACTGCACATAAATTCTATATACGTACATTTATCACATTTCAGGCATTCAAATGCATCAAACATCACATTGTAACCCATTTTAATAGTTTTCGGAAGTATCAGACTACCAGTTGATAAAATGTATTGTATAACATTCATTAGAATATTCATCAGAATCGAATAATCACCAGAAGATAATCGAGTGTGTTTCACATTTCTATGACTTCTGATGAATTCTCTCTTTCGAAAAAATTCGTACTTGGGTACTATACTTTATCCTTTATTTACATATTATTAAGTACAATATATTGACATTCATGGTCATATTATTGCCATGTCAAATGGTTTTTTAAACCAAGAAACCAATTGAAGTGCAAGTATGTTCCTGGTATTTCCTGAGATTCAGCAGATAACTCCAAGGCCTCATTGCTCTTTATGTATGCTGATGAACGCGTTAGTAAGTTTGCTGGAGGAATAAGTAAATTGTCTTCACATTTGAAGTATAGTTATATTTTCTGTATTCTTGATGAGGCGGTTCGGGCGTATAGGGTTAATCAGAATGTAATGAATGAATCTCAAATATAACGAAAATGTTATCGCAGAAAAATGAAGTGAGAATGGGAAGCTCTATCTCAGGCCTTCTCAACTAGTTTATTAGAAGTGCCAAAACAAACATTTATTGAGGTTGAAGTGCCAACCTGTATGTTTGGTGACTGTGTTGCGAGGAAGCGTAGCGACCGAGCCGATACTGGGTGGGATCCAGGGGGCGAAGCCCCCGAAAGCTAGTGGAATTAGGGCTTTTTTAAGGCCCAGATGTGGCATTTTAACACCTTTTTGTTCCATACAACATCAATCATAATTTCATATAGATGTAAAATATTTAGTATAATTCCTGGCTAAAATCTACATTGGAAGTTAATTTATATGTAGGTATTTTGGTGCAATAAACACGGAAAATGTCAAAATCAAGTGAAAATCAAACAAACAAAATGGCTTGCTTACATTTTGGGCTCAACTTCGACTGCGACTTTTTGATTTTGCTGATTTTTTAATTTAAAAAAAAAAATTCTTTCTTTAATTTTTAACGTTTAATTTTAATTAATTTTTTGGAACAGCCGCGCGCCGCTTCGATTGACCGCGCGCGCCGCCAGTTGAGAAGGCCTGCTCTATCTTCTGCTAGTCTGCCAACTATATTTTACCATGATTCTTGAATTGTCGATGTTTTCTTCCCTCAATACAGATCTCTTCGCTCATGGGTTTCACATGGCTGTTCGGCTTCGTAGCTGCTTTCAGTAAACATCAAGCCGTCTGGTATATCTTCATCATCCTCAACTCACTCCAGGGAGTGTACATCTTTCTGGCTTTCGCTGCTACCCGCAGAGTGTTCGATCTATGGCGTGGTCTAGTGCTGGAGAAGACCGTCGATACCAGCCTTCGTGATTCCTCTCTGCAGCTTAGGGATAGGTCGACGTCGAGCTCTGTACAAAAGACATCCATATAAGTGATGCGACATGAATTGGGGGGGGGGATTTGTTGACGAGACCATCAACCATTACTTACCATACATCTTAGGTCGTTCTTTCCTGGAGAGGACACCGATCTGAAAGTTCCCTGCAATGCGTTCTGCCTTGTGCTTTTGACCTTGCTTGACTCCCAGCTCAGGAAATGCCTAATGGCGTAGTCTAGTGCTGGAGAAGGCCGTGGGCCCCAGCCTGCGTGATTCCTATATCAAAACCCCTTTTTCTGTTGAAGCAAACAAAATAAGTAAATGTTTTTACATGAAATAACATAATCTTTCAATAAAAATTAAAAAACAGTACTCCTCCACAGAGAGAGAGAGAGAGAGAGAAAGATAAAAGATAAAAGACAAAAAAGCACCTGGTATATACTGCGATCATTCTTACTAGTTAAGAAAACAAAATATACTTCTTTTCCTTTCTGCAGCTGGACATATCAAACATATAGTTTTTTGCGGCCAATTTCACAGTTTTTTAATTCAAATTCATGAACGTGCATTCAAATTCACATAGTGGTCACTTACATGTGAATTCGGGCATTCGAATTCAAAATCAGAGCAGTCAATTTCATTTATCGGCACTCTTATTCATCTTCCGTGAAATCAAATTCACGAATGTGCATACAGTTTCCTTCTTCGTGCATTCAGGTTAACGCGGCGCTCACGATAAGCCCGTTTGAGGCACTCAATTTCATTTTTTGGTGATCAATTTCCTACTACGTGGATTCAATTTAGTGAAATATTGAGAGGGATTCCAGATAAGAGGGAAACTTTGATTTATTTAAATAAATTATTTGTAATTTTTGTTAATCACTGTTACACGAGGAAATCTCTACAGTTTAATTAATGTTCTTTGTTTATCTGGCAGTAATTGTTGCCTTGTGATAATGTTTTTGATTATCATATCGCTAATTATATATATATAGGCTTAACATGAATATCTCGTACTACACCTTTATTTCAGTATATATTTATACGAGTTCTAAATTATTGGAAACATTAGTAGAGTTTTAAAACCTAAAAAATAGTGATTTGAAGGTGATGTCTGCAATATTACTGCAGAAATGCATTATCCCTCAATTTATAAAAAAAGTCAATTAATGCATTTCTACAAACCTTAATGAAAAGACTTTTCAATGAAATTGTTCTTTTGTATGATGTATATATACCAGTTATGTGCTTGTGTTCCTCTCTCTCTCTCTCTCTCTCTCCACCTATCACGCCCTTGCTCTCTCCTTCTCTCTCTCTCCACCTATCACGCCCTTGCTCTCTCCTTCTCTCTCTCTCCACCTATCACGCCCTTTCTCTCTCCTTCTCTATCTCTCTCACTCTCTCTTCCATGTCACCCTCTACCCATTCTCTCTCTCTCTCTCGCTCTCTGTTTCTCTCTGATCTCTCTCCTCAACTTGTCTCCCCTTTCCTCTTTTACCACCCCCCCCCCCATTTATTCTTCATATTTATATTTTATACCCCTTTTTTATAGGCCTAATCAGATATGATAAGCTGAATACCAGTCACCTATGGATCCAAAGATAATTCCTATTAAGATCCACTTTGCTGATGAAATCACACATTATTAAACATGGATAACGCTCCCTACAAGAACAAATATACTTCACCCATCCTAAGATCAGCATTCACACTTTTACAATACTCAGACATAATGCCGAGTCCACTACAAAATAAACAAAACCCTTTCATATTTTCTTATCTTTGGCAAATCTTGGTAATTACGTGCATTTATAAATTTTGAAAATGCCACGAAAAATGTGATGTTTGTACAATATTTGATGAGTTGAAAGTAACCGAGTGTCATTCTTGATCGAGTGATATTGCACTTAGGCAGTTTCTGCAGTTTCCATAAACACTGTATATAGCTTTTTTGTATGTGTTTGTGCCCAGGCCTGTTTGTGACATGAGTAATATGGCAAGTTATATATTTATGTCTTTAACTTTTTGTTAGTTGAGAGAGTTTACAAATGAAAATGAACAAGATAATGCAAATGTCATGATAATGAAGCCTACATTTTTCACAAAATGAGCAAAATAAAGCTTCTCAAAGACCCCAAAGAAACTAAACGCAATACTTTTTTTGAAATTGAGTGCACTTATTTCAAACATGCTTGCTCATTCACAAATTTGAATGACCAACGAGGTACTGTAGCCGACATTACATGAATTTGAATGCTCTTTGCACGAAATGTACGCTCTTAGTTAACATTTGAATGACCCGATTTAACAATTGATTGCACGGATAGTGAATTTGAATGACGGATTTAGAATTTGAAAGCTGATTCAACGCTGCGAGTGCGAATTGCGCGAATTCAAATGCTTGGAATATGAACTTGAATTTAAAAAAATGTGTGAAATTGGCCGCAAAAACCTTATTATGAAATGCGTATTAATGTTATAAAATCTATGTTCATACATAGCTATCGATATTTTATAGTGATATATCAAGAGATACATATATCCATTTTGCACAACTTTGTGAATGATATTATTAGATTTATTATAAAACAGCGTACATTGGTCTCAACGTTTTACCAATAAGGTCAACTTTCCAAATTAGGAAATTTACCTATCGGAGACTTGTTGACTCTATACAGTCTCATAATGAGAATTACGCATATCATATGTATTGTGAGTCTATGTGTGTGTGTGTTAGTGGGTCTGTGTGTATTTATACGAGTAAAAAGCGATGCAATGCTGATTTAAAAACTAAATCTATTTATGTAAGTTTTCCAAGCCCTTAATGCTTATTTTCTTGTTCGTATTATTGTATTTGCATTGTTTTATATTAAGATTGCGATATGAATGCACTACGTGCAAGATCACAAAAAAAAGTATATAATGTTTAGCTAGACTTGTTTTAGAAACTTTATATGGTGAATTACAGAATAACATATGTATTTGACTCAATGAAATATTTTAACCGACTGCCAAGAAAGCAAGTACGTGCTTGTTTGTAAGAAACAAACGAGACGGCTTTGTGTCCTATCCGAGGGACTTGTTAATTGAGGAGCAATGCTTTTCCAAACGGCACCAGTACATCAACTTCAATGAACGGGACCTCCCGGTTACGAGACCACTGCTCTACCACTGAGCCATCATTATTAATATACATGTATATATACTAACGCTTTGACTGGTAATGCTATGGCAAGGATTTACCTTCATACATATTGCAGTGCTCACAATCAAAATAACTATTGTCGAATATTTCTAGAATGGTATCCGAATAATTGGATTAAAATAACACTCCCCCAAATAATTGTGTTATATAAATGTAAACAGATGTCGTCTCTCACGTGTAAAGTCATAAACCTTTTTTGTCCTGTTTTGACACTTCGTGTAATTTCGTGTTCATTCATCGAACATCGTTTCTGTAGTTTGTTTGTTGTGAGTGTTACATGACCTTATACCTTTGCACATATTTAAAGGAAATACACCTCTAGCAAGTAATAAATTGGTGATTGTGGCATTAAACGTAATGTTTCTTTGCGTAAGGTTTCGTGATTGTCAGATATTGGTCTGCGGCTTCTCGTGTAAATATGTAAAAACGATGCTCTAACACAGACTTGTGGAGATAGATCGAGCACATATTACTTTAGCCATGATTTGTGAAACCAATCTTTTTCAGGTCTTTTTTTTCGGGTAGGCCGGTCATAGGGAGTAAAACATGACTTCTCGTTGTCCTATTCCTAAGCTTGTTTTATTATTTACAGTGATAAGCATTGCACTCTGGACTGTGACATATCGAAATATGTCAAAAAGAAAAAAACATAACAATTATCAGTTTTTTCCTCTTCATATTCCCCAATAAGCTCTCAAGTGTTCTAAAAGTATAGATAGAGCAATGTTTTGGTGGAGGATCATCTGTCCGTTCCACCTTATGCCCGCCCCAACCCCATTTTGTATGACTACTCTTTCGATCTGGTCCTCGGATGAACTGGACTAAAGAGAAAACAACTGTAACAAATTATATCGTATCTAGAAAGTCATTTGCATTAAACTTTTAAATCTATGTTTAAAGAGAAGGTTGAGTTCTGGGGAGAGGTGAAAAAAAATAATTTGTGAGCATTTTCATTGTTATTATGACAGTGGTGTCAGACAAAAAGTGTTCCCTGAAAAGCATGGCTTTATATTCTAAATATGACATGTGTACAGCTTAAAAATGTGGGCCTCATTTGTATGCCACATGTTTGTGTAGTCCCATATACATCTGTCCGTGTACAATGATTTTTACTTCACCAAGACTGGGCCAAATTTCTTATCATTTTGATGACTCCAGAACCTTGCAGTTCAAACCAATATTTTTTCGCTATATTATGATCAACTTTTTCTGATCGATTCCACACCGTTTCTCACACGTTGCAATCGCATGACCAGAACCCAATTGTATCTTTAAGAGAAAATGAGATATTTATTGCAGGAGAATGACAGTTGTCGAATATATTTTATGGGGGAAATACTTTTAGCCGTCGAACGTGAGGGACTTCCTTAGCGATCTGATAATTCTCGTAAAACGCACGTAAAAGGAATGGTTAGATGAGACGGATTGAAGAAAACAAATGAATTTAAATGATATCAACTACTCATGGCATTGCAATGAATATACCAAAATAACATTAACGTGGCCATCACAAGACTGACAACAAACCAAACAATATTGAGTTACAATTATTTTCTTCCGCAACATACAAATCAAACAATTGCGTTTCAGCAATACAACATACAAAAAATATAATTTAAAGAAAATGTTGAATGTCTACACGTTAAAATAAAAATATACGATGACATTAAAACGAATTGAACTGAAAACACAATACCAAGAAAGTTGCAGAAGAAGAAGGGCTATTACAATAAGCGATTGCTTGATAGCGTGATAGCCCGGTGGAAAGGGAAGGGTAGGGTGTGGATGTGATGATAACCAAACAAATGGTGATGGTGTTGATGATAATGATAATGTTGATGATAATGATGATGGTAAAAATGAAAATGACAATATGCTGATGTAAATATGTCTGACACAGAAAGCTCATACATTTAAACGGGAGTTATAAAATATGGTGCTGGATGTTTTCTAGGAATGTAAAGATAATATTGAATAATATTTCAGCACTGGAAATAGATCAAACAGTGTACTCTGATAGAAATATTTTCTTCGTATTGAATTTAAATGAATTTAGAGTTTTACACGAGTTGGTCGAGTCTGGGGGTGCATTCCATAAATCTGGACCATGATGTTGATTTATGCAGAATAACTAATTTATGATTTATCACATGAAAGTTTAATGAGTTCCGAGTAGGGAAATGATGGAAAGTTTAATTTAATACCAACAAATATTACAATACTCTGATGGCTCAAAATAGGTCGGATTAGTATCGATGAAAACACGTTTGATGTCAGTTTGGCGGTGTTCCTGCAAGCAACATAGCTTGGCAAAACATCCGAATTCACGGATTTCACTCATCCCTGCAAGAAAATACTTTCCTCGTATCTGGAATGCGTGGAAACATTAAGAGGGGAAAGAAATCAAATTAAATGGGCTATTTTATTCACTTCATTGGCCTAATTATACATCATCTGTATATAAGTTTATTGTCCATTTATCAATGATAAGAATATTTTCAATTATCAGATACGAAAGTTTTCCAACTGTGGTGCGTTGTGGTTCGATATCGAATTTGGAGCCCGCGAGATGTACAAAATTCATAGTCGATAGAAGTCTCTACAATTGCGCCCAGGTTTACCCTTCGTGTGTTATAAATTGGTTTATATGCAGTTTTTCAAAATAGAAGAAACTGTAATCATGAAAGCTATATAAAACGTGTGTGTTATTGTATGTTTAATTGCAATTGGGTCACTTTTATGTAGAGCACAAAGAACCTGTGGTAAAGGATAATGGCCATTTGGACGGTACAAATACATATCCCAACCTTCATGCAATACTGTAGCTCATTGTCACAATACTTTATACTACTTTTCTCAGAAGATATCAATTTCTTTTCCGGTAAACATTTAATCGATCCAGCCTAACATTACAGGCTGGGCCACAATTCCTTTCTTTCTGGGACACTCTGTAGTATAATGAAATTCGTTCACAACCGATTACAGCAGCGTTTTTCAACCGGGGTGCCTCAAGACATTACTAGGCGTCCCGCGAGACAAATTTAGCTATTAAAAATACTTTGGAATGATTTGAAGCAGGATGATTTCAGCCAGCGAAGTGCCTAAATAGCTCCATATTTCGGCGAAAGAGGTGCCCGAATATCTTTCAATATGACAGCGAGAGGTCCGAATATATCTTATATATTTTACATCGAAATCACATGTTTACCAAGATCGATCGCTTCACTCACTTGCAACATTTAGAAACAAGGATGGTTCTAGGCAACGAGATGCATGCCCGATCATATCCTCGGATTCGTATATCGAAGAGATCGGATATTATGATTTCCGTATTCATGTATATTCGGCGGCGAGGTGCCCGCAATCATTTTTTTTAATATCTTATCTAGTGCGTTGATAACATTTTTGTTTGTTTACCATATCAAAAATATCTTCCTGTTTTGCTCATACTTTGGGGTGACGCGAAACGTTATATTTCCGGCTTAAAGGTATACCGACGCTTAAAAACGGTTGAAAAACGCTGGCTTAAAGCATGAAAATCAAGCATATAATCACAGTAGGTATGGTAAAAATGGTGACGCCTCTGATCTGATACGCCTGTCACGCTCCATACCATCATCACATGAATTCATTCACTTTCGTTTCAGCATCAAATGTGACTTGGCATAAACACGAACAGATCATAATGCACTTAAAAGCTATAAGCCGTGCGTTGAATATAATCACCCTTCCATGCAGAGAAATAAGTATACCACCACTTGCATTAATTTTCACGTTAACAAAAATCTTTCATTTCGCGGAGAGGCAATTTCATTTCGACAATATTTCAACTAAGCAAAGTAGTAATTTGCTTTTTTTCTTCTCATTTGCTTGCTTGGTTGAAAATTCAGTCTTGGGAGTAACCCTGCCCCTAGGCACCCCCAGGTCCAAAATTTTAGTGCGCTGACTCTATTTGTCATAACATAAACATGCTGGCACATCAACCTCTCCACGCACGGGCACACACACACACACACACACCCACACACACCACGCACACATGTGTCATCATTACATAGTTGCTAAGATCAGAGGAAACTTTATGACCTATGACAACCTCTTTAACATCGATAGCTAGGATTTTAAAAATGATTGTCCACTTTGCACAACTTCAAATATGCCAGACTGTTACGACCAATGCACTATGGACCTCGTTTGATCTAGAGGCATAAAACCACGAACGGTAAACGTGTACATTGCCCCATGTGTTTGTGAAATATTGAACGGCCGGTTATTAAAAACATAACATACGTTTATTACAAGGAAAATTAGGAAGCTGCAAGTGGTAAGTTATTTTTGTCTCATTCATTTACATTGTTCTTTTAACAGGATACTGGATTTTGTATAATATACATAAATCCCATGATATGACGGTAGTGCTCTTTCACAGTTGAAGTTACTTTAAAATGCAAATAATTTTAATTTAACAGGATACTGGATTTTGTATAATATACATAAATCCCATGATATGACGGTAGTGCTCTTTCACAGTTGAAGTTACTTTAAAATGCAAATAAAGACTTAAGAAATTAAAAGATAGGCGTGTGTCATTATGAAGATTTTTCCGTAAAAAAGCTTTACAAATTACCTTCGTAGTTCTGCTAAACGTAGAGCAAATGGTGTATTTCATATACTTTGGTTTGTTTGTTTTCTGCCTTAGTCTAACGTCTAATAAAGGTCTTGGTCTGAAATTAATCAGCTTATATGACCTACTGTGACCTTGGTCACTAAGACAACTTATTTCAAACAATAGAAAACCTTGCATTAACATTTGATACTAACGTGACCGTACTTCGTCTATGATTCGCCGCAGTGGCGCAGATACAGAAGAAGGGTGGGCATGTGTCCACCCCCTTCTCCATTGAAAGAGAGAGAAAAGAGGGAAAAGGAGAAAGGTGGGGTGCAAAAATAAAGGAGATAGTTGCACCCTTTGCATCCGTTTCCAAACCCTTACCCAATTCGACGGCGTTATTCTTTTGCATTTCACACACCTATTAAAGACCGGTTTCCCAAGCCCCATGATCACCAACACCCCAACAGTATAAGTCACTGATTTTTCTCACAATATCCGCAGGTAATGAGATTTGTTTGTATTTGTTGTCCTGCAAACTTGGTCCGACATCCATATCCATCTTCCTTCACCACAAGTATGTAAGATTAAAATTATCTATATGCTGTTGAAAATATAATCCAATATAATTCGTCGCCTTCTGATCAATTACATCACTTAAATTTCCAAGCCCAATGAAATATCCAATTTTCCCAGTATAAACAATATCAATATAACTAGTATGACCAAGGGCCACGGAGAGCAGACAACTGATGAGTCACTGTCAACGTCGACATCAATGTCCATTCCGTCTAGATATCCATCGATATCAGAGACGATGGCTACCAAAAAGGATGGCTCAAAGAAGACGGACTATGGTTCATTACCGCTTGAAGCTAGTGAACAGGACAGAAAACCACTTCTAGGACCTTCAAAGAAGAATAGTGAGTACAGTAATTCATCACTACCATACTGAAAACATGCTGTCATCAAATTTACAATTGTGATGTATGCGTGCTGTATTTATGTTTTCTTTTTCTTTTTCTTTGTACTATATGGTATATATATATATATATATATATATATATATATATATATATATATATATATATATATATATATATTATATCATTCTATACAACAACAACAAAAATGTCACTTCTGGATAAATTGATGTATGATGATTTAAACTTACACATAAAGGATCAGGGAGATGGAACGGTAATGATATTGACTGAGTAGGAGGTGGCGAAGAAGAAGAAGTCTATAACATTCGTTATCCATGCATGTTCATATCTGCGTCTTATTTAATTTCACAAGTACCTGGGTTCATCCAAGTTCGCCATCAGATGGCCATACTGGTTTTCCTTGGGATGACGGCCGTCTGCGCGATGCGGCAAAACGTGAGCGTTGCCATGGTGGCAATGGTTAACGGGTCTTACGTCACATATGACGAGCCACTCGGGAACGAAAGTTTGGAAGGCGTGGAGACTTGCGCAGAATCTCTAGCGGTGAACTCGACAACTGAACAGACGGTAAACCCGGAGATTAATTGGTATTATTTCATGATTTAATACGAAGTATATCCGAAGTGAACATGGTGAAGGGCATTGTGTAGACGTGTTGATAAAATACGAATGAGGCGCCATCATCACAGTTTACATTCTTGAAGTGGTAAATATTTAATTAAACTCTCTGAACACACCCACAGAGAGATAGAAACTTAAAGGTGAAGACCAGTTCTGGTCATGCGATTGCATTGTGAAAGAAACGTTGTGGAATCGATCAGAAAAGGTTGATCATCTACCATATAAGTATTGGTGTACTGCAAGGTTCTAGAATCATCAAAATAATAAGAAAAATTGGCCCAATCTTGGTAAAGTTACAAGCACTGTACACAGAAAGATGTATATGGGAATATGCGACACGTGCGCGATATCTATCCGGTCCGGATAGATATAATAATTTACCCAATATATGAATTAGTAGGCGGTTTCCCGGTAAAATTTGTATCAGCACGTATTTTAGTCAAAACATATTCTTTCACATGATTGGTAATAAGAGCTTCCATTTTAGTTTTTGAGAGGGGGTGTTTCCAAAAGTATGTCGAGGTCCGTTTCTTTTGTTCATTTCAGGGTCAGTTTCTTTACACTCACGTGTTTCAAAGAACCAGACATTTTAAATGTATGTCCAAAAATAATCAAGGAAACACAGGTATTACCGCTGAGAGTATGTACGATACTTCAGTTCCATATGTCTCCTTGGACTGCCCTTGAGGGAAGTATAACTATAATCGATTAGACCAACTCTTACGAAGGATAAATTCAAATTAAGTACTTACAATCAATATCATAATTTTTTTGGAGAAAATTTAGTGTTAATACAGCTATTTGTTGTTGTATCTGTCGGTAACATTTTGTAGAGTTCTGGCGAGTTTCTGTGGGATACACAAACACAAGAACTACTCCTCGCGGGCTTCTTTTACGGCTACATCTTCACGCAAATCCCCGGCGGCTGGCTTTCTGACAAGTTTGGTATGAAATGGGTCCTCGGGTTTGGATTTCTGCTGTCAAGTGTATGCACTCTCCTGGGGCCAGTAGCTGCTTATGCTGGAACAGAGTGGTACTTTGTAACTAGGTTCTTCAGTGGACTGGGTGAGGTAAGGAAAGACAGACAAGATTGAGCTTCCCCTTCGTATCAAGTAGCCTAGTATGATAACCGAAATGGTTTAACAGTCACTAGAAACATCAGTAAATTATCAATACAGAAAAGCCCCATGAGGACCTACCGAAACTGAATAGCACCATGTAGTAAGTCCATGATTCGATCAAATGCTGTTGACACAGCACAATTAAAAACAGAGCAGGACATTCGAGACAAAAGTTGTGTCTGGTAAGTGGTAACCCTTCAATCTGGTGAAAACTTATTTGGTTTGTCATATCCCTTGAACGTTCCACATACATTCCAAAGGTTCGGCCAACCAAAAGTTTAGGTCAGGTGAAAAAATCATTCTCTTGAACATTTCCACATTTCTGAAAGTTCAAGAGATCGTCGGGTTTGTCAATCTTTAGCCTTGTAAGCCTTCAGTCTTGTGAATGAACCTCCCTCCCCATATCCCATTCGTTACCCTCTTCATAGGCTATCATGATTCTTCTTTCAGGGCGTCTCTTTCCCAAGTTTGCTTGCCATGTGGTCTAAATGGGCACATCCAGAGGAAAGAAGCAGTCTAAGCGTGATCGGTTTCGTAGGTAATGATATGGAAGTATAATTCGCTGCTTAGTTTTCTCCTTATTTCGTTCTAGTGGTATTACAATAACTGTCCATATTCTTTCCCTTTCTTGCAACCTAAGAGGTTTGAAGACAGCTTTCTAATTATTATTCTCGTCTTCATTTTCCTTCTGCTTCATCATAATCATCTTTACATATTTCATCATTATCACTATCATCATCTTCTTCATCCTCTTATTTTTCTTTCTTTTCCCATTTTCTTCTGTGTTCTATATTTTCTTTCTCAACTTCCCCTACTTTTGCCATCTCCTTTTCTCACCATGTTATCTTCCTTGCTAACTAATGAAAGCTTAACCGAAACACTGAAAGCTAAATGTTTATCGGCCATAAAAGAAAAAATACTCGAATAAGGAAGATATATTAAGTTCATAGCATTAATAATATATATTTTATCAAATAAATTAGGAAACATACAAGAATACATTATATATATACATTAGAATATAAAAATTGTAAGGTCTTAACAATTATATAACACTTTAATTTCTTCAGCGTGGTACTGCTCTTCCTCTTCAAGTAAATTTCCTATGAAAATGTTTACCTTAGTAAAATGTCGAAGGTAAAAATTTCAGAGGTAAAACTGCCACAGAGGTACATATGTCAGAAATTATTGATTTATGAATTTAGTACACAAAGAATTTATTTTGTGGGGAAAAAAAAATTTAAATATCAAACGATGTTCCACCGAACTGTGTACTGTACGATAAACAATGGTATAAATACATGTAGCCGAATGTCTCTCTGCCGGGAACCCCAACTCTACTAAGCGTTAATATCTATATTTTGTTTTCCGATTTCAGGATTCAACAGTGGAAATGTGTTGGGTAATGCATTGACAGGATATCTCATTAATCTAGGTGTGATAGGCGGGTGGCCTCTTCCATTCTACGTATTTGGTTAGTGATAATTGCTACTTAAACCTACTGCATTTTCTCTTCTGTTTCACCCTTCTCCCTGTCTTTTTCTTCTTTTTTTCAATACAAAGTTTGAAGGATCCATGCAAAACTAAAATACTGCAAGGGTGTCGGCCTTATCATAATATTTATCTCAATTCTCTGAAAGTGGAAGATTGCATAGGGAGGCCGGCTTATCATATATTAAATCATTCATTTATTGCAACCATAAGTTGGATTTCATACAGTAAAAAAGGCAGGCATATAAATGGTTCACAATATAGTTATATGTATATATACTTTGTACAATAAAACTGTATAAATTGACACTTTAAATACATAGATATGAAAAGAAGAAGAAGAAAAAAAAATACTCAAGAGCAATCGCATTTAAACATAATTATAAGGTACATAGGACTTCACAGGACCAATAATCATATATCAACTGACATCAACGTATTGTCCAACAATTAAAATTGAGAAAGATTTTGAAAGAAAGAGAGAGACGGTAAACCCAAATTGAGTGGTGGTATAATGCATTATCCGTAAAAAAAAAATATCCAGTCAAATTCAATTGGGAATAAATTTGTTACATTCTAAATTATTATAAAATACATATAATAAACAAGTGTGCAATTTTAAGTAAAACATCTATACGGCACCTCAATTCAATATAAAATTGGCAATAATGATTATTAATTAAATTTAATACCCTGTACAAAGTTTGAAGACACTAATAAAACGGTGTCGTATGATAATCACAAATATGTAAAATAGGATTGATGTCTTCTCATTAAAATTATTACATTTGATTAACGAGAATATACTCAATAAAAAGGACAATAAAAATACATTAAATTTGGCAAGATCATTGTAGATTTAACAGACACCAGGGTATGAAGCTATTTTTGTTTCTATTAGTTTTGCATTTGAGAGGGTACAGGTCTTTGCTGTTCCGAAGAGAGTATCTTGTTTCTCTTAGAGCAAAAAGAAGATGGCTTAGCATGTGACTGGGGTTACGAATTTGGGTAAACAAATTAAGGCATAGTTTTTGTCTACGTTCAGAAAGGGATTGGAGGTTAAGAAAGACAAGGGCGTCAGAGTATGATAGTCCAGGTGAAATAATTCTAACTGCCCTTTTTTGGATGGACTCTAACATTTCGGATTGTTCTTTGGTCAGACCTCCTTGAAATACTTGGCAAGCATACTCTAACACCGATCTAATGCATGCCACATAGTATCTGCACATATCAATCTGATTTTAACCTGCCCTTCGTAATTGAACAAGAAGGTACAAGCGTTTTGCTGCTTTAGTGTAGGTTTCTTTCACGTGGGTATGGTGGCCCTGAAGGGACATCGCGAATAGACTAAATCGTGAAAAATATGCGATAAAATTCACGATATCGTCAATTTTATCGCATATTTTTCACGAAGAAATTCACGAAATTGACGATATCGTGAACTTTATCGTGAACTTTTCACGATGAAATTGACGATATCGTGAATTTTATCGTGAAAAGTTCACGATATAAAGTTCACGATATCGTCAATTTTATCGTGTACTCTATCGTGTACTCTATCGTGTACTCTCCTGACGGGCGCTTCGTAAACAAAACCAGCCCTAGTTGGGGGAGACAGAGAGAAGGAAAAAAGGGAAAGGGAAAGAGAAGATAAAAGGAAAGAAAGAATAATAAGAAGAAAAGAGGGAAACGGGGGGGGCGAAGGGCTCTTGCCTCCTCCTCACTCCCCCCCCCCCCCGCCAAAAAATAAATAAGGAGAGAGAGAAGGGAAAGGGAAAGGGAAAGAAAATATAAAAGGAAAGAAAGAAGAAGAAGACGGAAAGAGGGAAACGGGGGAAGGGCGAAAGGCTCTTACCTCCCCCTCCCCCCTCCCGCCATAAAGGGAAAGAGAAGGGAGAGGGAAAGAAAATATAAAAGGAAAGAAAGAAGAGGAAAAAGAATAAGAAAAGAGGAAAAACAGGGGCAAAGGGCTCTTGCCTCCTTTCTTTTCTTTCTTTTCCTTTCTTTCCTATTCTCCCTCTTTTTCGTTTTTCTCTTTCTTTCTTCTCTTTCCCTTTCCTTCTCTCTCTCTCTCTTATTTATTTTTTGGCGGGGGGCGGGGGGACGAGGCAAAAGCCCTTTGCCCCCGTTTCCCTCTTTTCTTCTTCTTCCTCTTCTTTCTTTCCTTTTATCTTCTCTTTCCCTTTCCCTTTCCCTTCTCTCTCTCTCTCTGATTTATTTTTTGGCGGGGGAGGGGGGGGGGGCAAGAGTCCTTCGCCCTTCCCCCGTTTTCCTCTTTTCTTCTTCTTCCTCTTCTTTCTTTCCTTTTATCTTCTCTTTCCCTTTCCCTTTCCCTTCTCTCTCTCTCTCTGATTTATTTTTTGGCGGGGAGGGGGGGGGGGTGAGGAGGAGGCAAGAGCCCTTCGCCCCCCCCCCGTTTCCCTCTTTTCTTCTTATTATTCTTTCTTTCCTTTTATCTTCTCTTTCCCTTTCCCTTTTTTCCTTCTCTCTGTCTCCCCCAGCTAGGGCTGGTTTCGTTTACGAAGCGCCCGTCAGGAGAGTACACGATAGAGTACACGATAGAGTACACGATAAAATTGACGATATCGTGAACTTTATATCGTGAACTTTTCACGATAAAATTCACGATATCGTCAATTTCATCGTGAAAAGTTCACGATAAAGTTCACGATATCGTCAATTTCGTGAATTTCTTCGTGAAAAATATGCGATAAAATTGACGATATCGTGAATTTTATCGCATATTTTTCACGATTTAGTCTATTCGCGATGTCCCTTCAGGGCCACCATACGTGGGTATCCCAGTTAAGTTTGTTATTGAGGTACAAACCGAGTAGTTTAACTTCCTGAACCCTCTCTACTTGATTTCCACCGATGGTAAGATATGGTAAGTTTGGATCGTCTTTCATGAAGCAAACAACCATTTCCTTGGTCTTCATTGGATTTATCTGCATATCATTCAAGTCAGACCAGTGTGTAAGTTCATTGAGGGTATTCTGAATCGTGCCATTATCACCATATGGACATATCTCATACAATGTTGTGTCATCAACATTAAATGAACGGTATTATTTTCTTTTCAAATTATTACTCAAAATGGGTCTGCCATAAAATGGATTTCGGATCTGCTAGTTGTGCGGGTACATCTTAAATGACCGAGCCAAAGATTTAAAAGATGAAATAAACCTTTAGTTTGATGAACCTTCAATCTTGCGGACCGTAGTCCGAGCAAATACATGTACATACACTAATGATGAACAAATGAACTGTCAATCATATTTTGCAGGTACGGTAGGCTGTCTTTGGTTCATCTTGTGGAGCTTTGTTGCCTACAGTTCACCACGTGAACACCCATGGATATCTAAAGAAGAGCGTGAATATCTGGAAGAGGGCCTAAAACATTCCAACGTTAGTTGTACTCTAACGTGATATACACCTAATGCAAGGGCATAGAAAGTAAAGCGTAGGAATTAAGGATGGAGACCAGTTTAAAGACTAAACTTTGTCTGGATCATGCATATATTTTCTTCCTTTTGTGTCATGCAACGTCACCTTTCTCCTAGATAATTGTAAACTTCCATACTATCAACTTGTGTGTTCTTATGTTGTTACATGTGTTTTGTTTCGTTTTTTTTTTTTTTTTTTTTTTTTTTTTTTTTTTTTGTGTTTTTTTTTTGGGGGGGGGGGGAGGGGAAGGGGTAAAAGATTAGTGATATATATAAACATCTGAGCAACAGTAAACCTATTTGCTTGGCCTGTTTTGGAGTCTCCTTAAAGGAACTGCTGGTGTGACCAGCTGTCAGAATTATCTGTTGGTACCTGAACTGACTATTGGTCGCAATGGCACAATATGTACAAAGAAAATAGCAAATAAAATGCCAGGAATGTATAGAATATAGGTAGTAATGGGAACATTTAACTAAGGCAGACCGTTTTATTTCTTTTATCAGATGATAAAACCTGCGGCAGGGGTTCGAGCCCTCCACCTTGTGGTTTACATTTCGTAGACGAAACCACTAGACCACAGCACAACACAACATCATCTATAGTACATCGTTTTTTTTTCTATGTCCACAGACACTGAGACCATCCATACCATGGAGAAGTATCCTCAGTTCCCCAGCCATGTGGTGCCAAGTATGCACTCATTTTCCATTCACGCTAGGCATGTTCACCCTACTCGTCAACCTACCGCTCTACTACAGCGAAGCACTTAATGTTCCCATAGAACTCGTAAGTTTATAGTGCTAAAAACCTTATTCAGGGTGGTTGATTATATTTAGAAAAAGTTATATATTCAATCCAAGAAATATTTTCCTGTGAGCAGATCGAGGCGTGCTGAACAATTTGAGCAAAGACAGGTCGAGTGGGGGAATAATCATAATTGTGCTCACCAATTGCATGATAATTCATGACAAGGCGATCCCCGTGACGGCATCTTCTGGCCAACTTTTGCCATGAACTTCCATAAGCTCATCCGTGGTACAAGTTTGTTGGTACAAATCTTTCTTTTGTTAGTAATCCAATATATACATTTTTTTTAAATCCCGATCTATGGACAGTTTTTGGCAAGATTTACACAAATTGGTAACTAGGGTGTCGGATTGCAGAAATGAATCTCACGAGACATATTTTTAAAATCATTTTAATACTATTTTGTTTCTGTCATTTGATAGGCTGGCATATATTCGGCTTTACCCTACGCCCTGCAATTCGTTGTAATGCTTGTCTTCAGTTACATCTCAGATGCTCTCTTCGCCCGGAGGATACTCAGTAAAATAGCAACCAGAAAACTTATGGCAGCAATAGGTAACGCAATTATTTCTCCTAAAGCTCGTTGCATGCGATCCATCATTTTAAGCGCCCTCTCACCTGCGCTAAACGAACCTGTAAATTAAAGGCAGTGAGCCCATACGCCAGTATACGCCAGTATGGGCATGCATTGATTGCACAGCTCATATTGCGCGTCAAAGACTGTTTTTCGCCGTTCTTCATGAGGCGAATGACGTCTCGCTTTGTGCAATCGATATTTTTTGTGTCATTTTCCCTCACACCCATGCGTCATTAATTTTGTTGACATGATAGGCGTGGGCACTGACGCAATCGCAATAGGGACTTTTAGATTCGCACGAAGACAATGTGGATTGCTACGGTCGACGTCCTTTTAATGCACTGCCCTGAATGGACGTCATACGTATCAGTCCACGCAAATCTAAAAGTCCCTAATAACGCCTCGTGTGCAACGTACGAGCTTTTAAATTTATGATGAAGCTGTCTGTGGGCCGCTTAGTAAATAGTAGTAGGTTAGAGCCCGGTTAAAGGTAAAGACCAGTATTGGAAATGCCCCAATTTCAAAAAATGAAATGGAAGCTCTCATTACCAATCATGTGAAAGAATATGTTTTGACTAATACATGATGATAACAAATTTCCCGGAAACCGCCTACTTATTCATATATTTGGTAAATTTGTTTCTCTCATGGTCTGTGAGAGATATAGGGTAGTCCTATATACATCTTTCTGTGTATAGTGCTTGTAACTTTACGAAGAATGGGCCAAATTTCTTATCATTTTGATGATTCCAGAACCTTGCAGATGCTAGATGCTAGATGATCAACCTTTTCTGATCGATTCACAACGTTTCTTTCACAAAGCAATCGCATGACCATAACTGGTCTTTACCTTTAACAGACGGCTTGGAAGGACGACGTCTCACGAGATCGACATCTGTTTTGCGCACCTTCTTACATTATTGTCAGTGGGTTAACCCGGAAATATTTTCAGTTGTCGGTCTCTAGGGCCGTCAGTCTTGTCGGTCTTGTCGGTCAACTGATAATGGCAATATTTCAATAGAGAGCGTCATTGGCATGCCCAGAAGTTAAAATTCAGGGGGTTACATCGGATTTGGGTGCGAACCCCAGCGTACTATAGACTCAATACAACTTCTTCTTTTTTCTCGGCATTAAAAAAGGGGGTCTGGATATAAGTCAGTGAATAAATGAAAGAGAAAATTAATCGGTACATCGCTAGAGATTCAGATAGTCTTCAATAAATACTTACCACGAATCCTCATCAGTTCACATTTTTTGATTTTTTTTTTCTTAAATAGTTTCTTATATTGTGTTGTTTGTTTGCTTCTTATTGTTTACTTCACTTGTATCTTGTTTTTTCCAAGCAGGTTTTGGATCGGGGGCGTTCTTTCTTATCCTCACCGGTTTTTCACGGTGCAACACTGCTCTGTCCGTGACGTTCTTGACCCTAGCCATGGGTGGGGTCGGCATTTGTTTCTCCGGTCACTTCGTGGCCTTACTGGACATCGCAGGTCCCTTTGCTGGTTCGGCTATGGGAATGATGAACACGGCCGGTACCCTAGGCGGCATTATCGGGCCCTACATCGTCGGCGTCTTGACTGAAATACAGGTTTGGCTAAAATTACAAACAATCACGAGATGATTGCTTATGTCAGTTGTGCACAATCTCTCAGCTATATATAGCTAACATAATGAAAGAAGATTGGAAAATGGTTAGCAATTATAAGTCTTGACTCACCTTAGATTTCATTCACTTTAATCTGAATTGGGCGTATAAAGCGGAGGGCCAAAGTCAGAAAAGAGAGGTTTGCCTGCCACTACCACATAAACCAAGTACACCTTGTTTATTCGAAAGGCTTTATCATAATACATAATATTTGAGAGGTGTTTCTTTTTTGTATTCGTAGCTAACACCCCTAAATCGGAGGGGCCGTCAAAAAGCTGAAACTGAAAAAAAAGTGATTGGACATTTTAGTAGTGCAGAAAGTTCAATAGATTTTGATTTTGATTAGTACTTTCTCTATACTCTGGGATGTTTCAGGAAAAGTGGACATTAGCAGCTCCCCCCCCCCCCCTCCCCGTGATATCAATGTTATTTCCATAAAATATAGATGGTTTGTCTTGTTGTCACTCTCTCCCGCTCTCTCTCTCTCTCTCTCTCTCTCTCTCCCTTTCTCTCTCTCTCTCCCTTTCTTTCTCTCTCTCTCGCTTCCTTTCTATCTCTCTCTCTCTCTTCTCTCTCTCTCCCTCTCTCTCGCACTCTCTCTCTCACTCCCTCTCTCGCTATCTCTCTCTTTCTCTCTCTCTCTCTATCTTGCAAACTATTTCTTACCCAGTCCAACATTACAGGTTGGCAGAAGGTGATGTGGATCATAGCAGGTTTCTACGGATTCGGGGGTTTGACCTTTATCATCTTCGGCACAGTCGAGCTTCAACATTGGGCTAAACAAGACTACCAACCAATCCCAGGCAGTGACGAATAAGCGAGTTTTTGTGAAAACTAATAATGTGAAAGGACTTGCGTATTTTGCAATGTATTCATACATCCAAGTGTAGAACTAAGTTTGAAAAAGAAGTAGTAAGAGTAAATGAAACACAATCTTGGAAAACCGGAAATAATATTGTGTGGTAATGTCCAGCACTGTTCGGTAATAATTTCCATAAGATTTTCTATAAAAGAAGTCCACTGGCTCGTATTCTCCAACTAATTATTCCAAAGCGTTTCTGCCTGCCAAGTTACCTCGTCGATTGGAAAATTTTCTTACTCTTTTGAAGGACAGATGATGTCAAAAGATGAATGAGATCTGGAACATTTTTTAGGGTAGAACCTAGCAGGTCTGAAAAATCGTTTTAAATAATATTTAGAAATGTATGAAATATATTTATATTTTTAATAGAAAAATATGAGACGTATTATGCAGCACTGCAAATCAACAGGAATCAACTTATATTTGGATGTCATCTGACCCTTGAATCATTCTACTATTGTATTAGTCGTTTACTGGAATATCTTGAGAGTTCGTGTGCTTTAATAAGATTAAGAGGCTATGAATTTGAAATAATACCTTTTCTTATTTCTCATTCGTTTTTTTTTTTACATCAATGGGCAATGAGTACATGAGTAGAAATTATGTATGCATGTACTTTTATAAGAATCATGAAGTATTGGTGGGTCGCAGGCATATACGTATTTTCACCTGGGGCTTCAATCTATACGTCATAGTCGCCAAACACTTCAAATATGTAATTTCATAGACAAGTCAAAATATTCAAGTCTGTGACTTCCTCCCCACAATATAAGAAACATTTTTACAATAGTACGCCAGTTATTACATGAAACTCTGCGCTGCAAACACTACAAATGTAGACTATTATGCACAGTAAAGTATATAGATTAAAACATAGTAGATCAAAGGTAAACTAAAAAAATATCGGCAAATCCCTTTTTTCCAAAGACTAATTGGGACTTTTCCACCAGAGTAAGGGCCACACATACTTCTGTCAGTTCTGTGCTCTAATTTGTATAATTACAACATCGACTAGGGAATTTGGATTTCTATGGGAATAAAATGAGACAGATTGAAGAACAGAAATAAATTGTAATGATATCAACTACTCATGGCAGTGCAATAAATATACCCAAAATAATATCAACTTGGCCATCACGAGACTGACAACAGACAAAACAATATTGAATTACAATTATTTTCTTCCGCAACATACAAATCAAACAATTGCTTTTCAGCAATACAACATATAGAAAATATAATAATATTTTTGAATGTGTACACGATAAATAAAAAATAAATGATGACATTAAAACAAAATTGATAACTGATAACACAATACCAATAATTATTCATTAAGAAAGTTACAGAAGAAGAGGGGCTATTACAATAAGCGATTTCACAGTGCAAATTTGTTTAGGGTTGTGCGGTCTACATGTATGTTTTTGTTTTTGCTTATGTTCTACTTTGATTTGTTTTGTTTTGTTGTGTTTTGTTATTGTTTATTCAAATACCATATATCATTTGTATGATTCCTATACTGTTTTTTTTCTGGTGGCTGTCCAGACAAACCCTCTAGGGTTTTTATACAGCAACCTAATTCCTATTTGTTTGTTTTTACTGTCAATATTGTACTATGTTAATCATATTTATGTAAAAGTAATATTTTGATGTCACTGTTTTTTTTACTATGGAATTAAATAAATACTGAACTTGAACTTGAACTTGAACTTGCTTGATAGCGTGATAGCCCGGTGGAAAGGGAAGATGGGGGGGGGGGGGGGTAGTGGGTGTGATGATAACCAAACAAATGGTGATGGTGTTGATAATGGTGATGATAATGATGATGGTGAAAATGAAAATGAAAATGAAAATATGCTGATGTAAATATGTCTGACACACAAAACTCATACATGTATAAGTATACGGGAGTTATTAAATATAGTGCTGGATGTTTTCTATGAATCTGAAGTTAATATTGAAGATTATTTCAGCACTGGGAAAAAAATCAAATAGTGTACACTGATAGAAATACTTTCTCCGTATGAAATTCAAATGAATTTAGGGTTTTACATGATTTTGTCGAGTCTGGGGGTGCATTCCATAAATCTGGACAATGATATTTTATTGATTTAGGGAGGATAAATAATTTATGATATATCACAAATAAGTTTAATGAATGCCGATTATAGGGAAAGGATGGATAGTGTTATTTATTACAAAAAATATTACTATACACTGATTGGCTCAAAATAGGTCGGATTAGTATCGATGAAAACACGTTTGATGTCAGTTTGGCGGTGTTCCTGCAAGCAACATAGCTTTAACCAACCCTTGGCAAAACATCCGAATTCACGGCTTTCACTTATCCCTGTAAGAAAATACTTTCCTCGTACCTGGAATGAGTGAAAACATTGAGATGGGAAAAAAAATCAAATTAGATGGGCTATTCAATTCACTTCATTGACCTAATTATACATCATCTGTATACTTTATTGTCCATTTATAAATTATAAGCATATTTTCAATGATCAGATACGAAGGTTTGGATCCATTTATCACACTTTTCCAACTGTGGTACGTTGTGGTTCGATATCGGATTTGGAGCCCGCGAGATGTACAGAATGCCCTCACCCAAATAAATTCATTCACCTTCATTTCAGCATCAAATGTGACTTGGCCTAAACACGAAAAGATCATAATGCACTTAAAAGCTATAAGCCGTGCGTTGAATATAAACACCCTTCCACACAGAGAAATAAGTATACCTTTGTTGCGCGCAACACCACCACTTGCATTAATTTTCACGTTAAAAAAAAACTTTCATTTCGCGGAGGGGCAATTTTATTTCGACAATATTTCAACTAAGCAAAGTAGTAATTTGCTTTTTTTCTTCTCATTTGCTTGCTTGGTTGAAAATTCAGTCTTGGGAGTAACCCTGCCCCTAGGCACCCCCAGGTCCAAAATTTTAGTGCGCTGACTCTATTTGTCATAACATGAACATGCTGGCACATCAACCTCTTCACACAGGCGCGCACACACTCACACACACACACCACGCACACATGTGTCATCATTGCATTGTTGCTAAGATCAGAGGAAACTTTATGACCTATGACAACCTCTTTAACATCGATAGCTAGGATTTTAAAAATGATTGTCCACTTTGCACAACTTCAAATATGCCAGACTGTTACGACCAATGCACTATGGACCTCGTTTGATCTAGAGGCATAAAACCACGAACGGTAAACGTGTACATTGCCCCATGTGTTTGTGAAATATTGAACGGCCGGTTATTAAAAACATAACAAACGTTTATTACAAGGGAAATTAGGAAGCTGCAAGTGGTAAGTTATTTTTGTCTCATTCGTTTACATTGTTCTTTTAACAGGATACTGGATTTTGTATAATAAACATAAATCCCATGATATGACGGTAGTGCTCTTTCACAGTTGAAGTTACTTTAACATGCAAATTAAGACTTAAAAAATTAAAAGATAGGCGTGTGTCATTATGAAGAATTTTCCGCAAAAGCTTTACAAATTACCTTCGTAGTTCTGCTTAACGTAGAGCAAATGGTGTAGTTCATATACTTTGGTTTGTTTGTTTTCTGCCTTAGTCTAACGTCTAATAAAGGTCTTGGTCTGAAATTAATCAGCTTATATGACTCACTGTGACCTTGGTCACTAAGATATCTTATTTCAAACAATAGAAAACCTTGCATTAACATTTGATACTAACGTGACCGTACTTCGTCTATGATTCGCCGCAGTGGCGCAGATACAGAAAAAAGGTGGACATCTGTCCACCCCCCCCCCCTTCCATCGAAAGAGAGAGAAAAGGGGGAAAAGAAGAAAAATGGGGTGCAAAAATAAAGGATATAGTTGCACCCTTTGCATCCGTTTCCAAACCCTTACCCAATTCCACGGTGTTTTTCTTTTGCATTTCACACACCTAATAAGACCGGGTCCCCCAGCCCCATGGCACCAGTACCCCCAACAGTATACGTCACCGATTTTTCTCACACTATCAGCAGATAATGAGATATGTTTTTTTTTTTTTTAAATTGGTCCGACATGCATCTTCCCGCACCACAAGTATAGGATTAAATTTTCTATATGCTGTTGAAAATACAATTCAATATGATTCGTTGCCTTCTGATCAATTGCATCACTTAAAGGTGAAATTCAAAGAAAATATGTGAACTAATGTATCACTAGAAACTGGTAAGCTAACAGATGGCCATCGTACAAGTTTTAGGTCAACTACATATCGGGTTATTTATTTAAAAAAAATACAAATACAACCACCTCCATAGCAGCTGGGATATACGAGAGATTAGCCGGAAAAATAACGATGTTTTAATGACGTCACTATATGGACCAATACTGCCCAAGCAGACGACATCCCATAACGAATGATACATAATTGCAAAGCTTTTATTTGTCAAATTATAATGGGTTTAGTGTATATAAAAGTAACGGCATGTCAAACCATTCCAAAGGGGGTATGACCCGATTCTGATAACTGAAATCGTTTGCTTGTAAATACACAGGATAGGGGTTAATTATTAATCAAAGAAACCAGACTTTCAAATTGAAAAGCCCCCGGAATGATATTAAGGACGGCATTTGTTCCCTCTTTAAACGCCGAACATACCCGGTGTGTGCATCTGACTATACAATGGCGTCTTATTTTGTTTACAAGCGACAGATTCCTTTATTTTTGTATCGCTGCATTTGTCATCAAAATAAAACCATGCGCGGGGTTTAGAGTGAGGCAATAGATTATACATTTAGCCTGACGGTAGTAAAGTGAGAGAAAGAACTCAAGAGAAGATGAAAACACAGGCACTGAAAATGTGTGAGATGTCATGGGACATCGTCTGCTTGTGCAAATCATGTCCATACTGTGATCTCACACATCTCAGCAGCGTTCGTAGAGCTCTTCAGGTGCTATTCCGGGGCTGTATTTAAGCGTTTTGTAATGTATAATAATCATTACTTCAAATGTTTCCAAGCATTGAATTTTGATAACCTTGCCAAATCAAAGTTTTAACTTTGCAATAATGAAAATAAAGTTAGTTTTTAAAATCAATGAATATCTACTTTAAATTTCCAAGCCCAATTAAATATCCCATTTTTTCAGTATAAAAAATATCAATATAACAAGTATGACCAAGGGCCACGGAGAGCAGACAACTGATGAATCACTGTCAACGTCGACATCAATGTCCATTCCGTCTAGATATCCATCGATATCAGAAACGATGGCTACCAAAAAGGATGGCTCAAAGAAGACGGACTATGGTTCATTACCGCTTGAAGCTAGTGAACAGGACAGAAAAACACTACTAGGACCTTCAAAGGAGAATAGTGAGTACAGTATTAATTCATCATTACCATACATGCTGTGATCAAATTTACAATTTTGATGTATGC